ATTCCTGATCCTATTGAATTCAGCCACATCTGTAGATCTCCCGAGGAAGGAAAGTCTCCTGCCTGTGTGCTGGGTCTGGTCCCTGCTGGGTTTTTCTGTAGGAGTGAGGATGTCCTGCCTTGCCTGCAGCAGCAGACCACAGTTCTATGATGCAGCCAGTTGGCACCACGTGGTCCAGGACTCACAGGAATGTCTGAGTCCCAACATGCTGTGCTGCCCCCGGGGCATGTCCCAAAACCTCCCACAGGATGCATTTTCATGGAATAGCCCCTGGCAGAACTTTCAGAAGTGTCCCATTTTCACCTGCTTTCACCACCTTCCCTGGCTGATGCTGAATCCCGTGGCTGGAGGATCATGCCAGAGGTCAGTGCTGCCATCAGACCTGGGGGTTTGCAGCCTGCAGCTCCTCAGCTGAGCACCTTGTGGGATCCATCCCTGCCTCTACCAAGGCACGTGAGTCACAAGCAGCATCCCAAGCAGGTCTCTGCATGGACCAGGAATGCTGTGGATGCTGGATGAGCTCAGCCTCAGCTGCAGGAGGCTGCAGGATCTGATGGTGCTGTTTTCCAGGGATAGCCCTGGAGGGTTTTAGGGGCTCAGGGAGTCAATCCTCAAGCTGCCCCAGCACTGTCTGCCTGCACTGCCCCATCGTGAGCCTCTGGGCCAGGTCAAGGCACTGTCATTCTCAAGGAGGCAGGAGCACACAGAGCCACCCACCAAAATGCTCTTCAGCAGTCCTGCTTGGAAATGGCAGGAGATAATTTCTGTTCCTCCTGAGGAGTCATTTACCAACATTTTACAGGGGGCTGTAAGTGCACAGAATTACTTACTGCCTTTCAGGACCTTTAAAATTATCTCTATTGCAGGGGAAAATTAAAGCAATGGAAGAATAGGGACCTATCTTTTATAGTGCATTAAAAAATACCCAGTCTGAAGGTTACTGAACCTATGCTTTCTGTAAGGGAGAGCTAATCCAGACAATCCCCAGCAGTCTTTTTACTGCTCCACTCTGATCTCCCTGGCACAAAATCCATGAGCAGATTATCTTGGGAGCAGCAATGCTGATAAGCAGAGGGACTTAAGGCTTTTGGACTTCTTTTTAATTAGTTCTATAGTGGGGTTTTTTGTGTGCACACCTCAATTTCTCTTAGTGTGGAGCTCTGCTGTGAAAGCTTCCCTGACTTGGGAAGGTAAGGAGCGCACTCCGTCATCGCTTCACACCTCCACGGGCTTTGCTGAAGCTCCCAGGTCTGTTCTGCAAGTCTCAGGGTCTCTTCCATGTCCTGACCGTCCCTTGGGCTGAGAAACTCTTCTCCTTGGAGCATCCCAGGCTGCAGAGGGGGCGGATCCCGGCGTGGACCAGGCGAGGGCAACGGCGCCTGCAAAGACAGGGGGGCTGGGGAAGGGAGCGGAGCAGGGATTTATCACCGCGTTTTGCCTTTCATCCCGCAGGTATAAATAGAAGCTCCTCCAGCCTCCCCCGTCACCCTGGGCGCTGATGGGAAATGTCAGCAATAAACAATTTCTGCCGACTCCTCCGGCCAGGGCGGTGCTGCTGCTGCGGCCGTGCCGGGACACCGCGCTGCCCGTGGGCTCCGGCTGAGCCTGTGGGCACATCTGCTGGTTCTGCTGCCCTCTGGTAGTTTTGTGGCCCACTGAATTAATCCAAACGCCCAGAGGTCAGTGGGAGAGGAGGCCGCGTTCCCGCGCAAGTCAGATTTATTTTTCTTTTTAGAGCCCGTGTTAAACGCCAGGCCCTGGCCGGCGTCTTCCCATCAATCTCTCCCAATTCTTGGAGAGGAGAGAGGGTCAGAACCTCCTAATGAGTTCAGCTTTCCTAATGGTTATTTTATCATTGGAGCAGAATAGTTGTAATAATAATGATACATCCTGCCTGCTGTCTGGAGAGCACCAAGCTGCCTTTGTAGTGCCTGACAAAGACATTTATTTATATTTTTTATTTGCAGCCTGTGTGATTAGAGGGGAGTGTTTAGAATAGCCCAGTCGAGTTAAATAATCCTGGTAACAGCGCTTTGAGTCTAGTTGCTGCCCTTTTCTTTTTTGGGTACTTGCTCCCTTAATTAAGAGCACAATCAAGTTGCATCTCTCGTGGGAGGGGGAAAGCAATCAAAAGAAGGGGATTCAGCTGCATTGCCAAGGTTTTGGGCCCAATCCTGCCAGCTGGGGAGGCAGAACTCCCACAGCCAGGGCTGGATGTGCTGCCAGAGGTTTGCAGGAGGGGTGGGAGCGGTGGCTGGTGCTGGTGTGGTGGTGTTGGCTTGCCTGGCCGCTGGCTCAGCGTGCTGCCCGCTCCAGGAGTGCAGGGTTGTGGTCCCGTGGGAGTTTACAGGGAGCTGCTGTGGGGTGCAGGGGTGGCTCCCACCCCTGGTGCAGCTGGAGGTCTCCTGCCACCTCCTCAGCCCCTGAGCAGCTCGAGCACCAGCCTTTGTCTCTGCCTTCACTGCTGTGCTGGATCCATTGCCTGGATGTGCCTCCCCTGGAGGTAACAGAGTTTGCGGGGCTGTGGCTGTGTCCTGGATGTGTCCAGTGTGTCCTGGGCATCCTCTAGGTCCTGGCTCTGGTGGCAGCACTACCCTTGGCTCCACAGCAGCACCTTGGCTGTCAAACTCCGAGTTTACCTGACCCCTTTTGTCATCTCCATGCAGCCGCGTTTTTAAGCAATTAGCTCACGTTCTGCTGGTGTTTCCACATCCCTCTGCTAAAGGCAGATCTTTCCTTGGTTATCAAGATCACCACCAACAAGAAAAAAAAAACCTGTGTAGAGGAAAACCCCTTCAGAACTGGGGCTGGAGCCTGGCAGGGCTGGGGGAACCGTGCACCCCTATCCATGCCCTCCCAGCTCCTGGCAGCTCCAAGAGGAATGGGAACTGCTCAAGGTTTGCTTATGGACTGCCAGCACTGGGAGCAGGACCTGAGTCCTCACCTGCAAAACAAGCACCTGCTGCTTGTTATAGTGATTTTAGGCTTTGCCTGTCTTGCAGGAGCGGGGCCCCCCTGCTGCCCTCGCCCCTGGGGCAGGCTGGGGCTTTGTCAGTATTTCCTGGCCAAAGTCTGTTTTCGTGCCAGGCTTTTAATTTGTTTTATAAATTGCCAAATCCAGCAGGCTGAGCCGCGGGCCCCCTCCTGTGATAAAAATAAAATAACAGCTTGAACCCGGGAGGGCCGAGCGGTGGGGCTGGCAGGAAGCGCTGATTAAAGGGCAGGTGGAAATGATGAGACTCCGAAACCGGAGGCTTCATCTTCCGCTCTTGAGTGAAAAATGCAGATTTCGTGAAGTTTTGCTGACTTGGCTTTCACCCTTGTGCTGTGGAGCCTCACACTTCACCCACTGCCATCCGTGAGCTCCCTGTCTCTAAGCGCAGGCAGGGACATCCGGGGACTGCTGCGCCTTCCTCCCTGTGGGATGAGGAGCGGTTTTGGGTGGGAATTGCTCTGGAAATGCCCATTTGGGCTTAACCCAGAGATGACTCAGAATTTGCAGCAGGTTTGGCCTCACCCTGTATGGCTTCCATCTTCCCCTGGCAGGTAAACCCCCACTGATTTGTGACTTACCCAGACCAGCAGCTAATGTGCCATGAAATTGCTCCAGAGCGAGGGGGGTACATTATTCTGGCAGAAAATCTCTTTGGGTGTTTATTCTGTTTTGAACTCAAGATATTTGCTCTGGAGCAATGATTTTTCTTTTGCTAGCAGGCAAATCTGTAGCTCATTTGCCTTTGGGCTGGGAGATCACTGTGAAATTGCAGCAGGAACGTTTCGGTCCCCTGAATATCTGCCTCCTCCGTGGGTGCCTTGCTGCTGTCAATGCTGGGAGGGGGAAAAAAGGACCTTATTTCCTGCCATAAAGTTTGTCCAACTTTCACCCCCCCACATCTGGCAACAAACCCTGCTTTGATATTAAGCAAAACTGTTCTGGTTTTTATTTTGGATTTTTTTTTCATGCTCTGAATGCGGCGGGAAGGTGCAGTTACCTTGGAAACAGTGGTGGGATGCTGTTTGGTGGCAGGGCAGCGCTCAGGCAGACCCCTTTTGGGAAGGTGGGCATGGAAAAGTGGGGGTTGCTGGGTCCAGAGCCACCCTGGAAGTTCAAGGCTGGTGGCAGGTGAAGCTGAGCCAGCGAAGATGCTGCTCCATGTCCAGGCTTTGGCGTGCAAATAAGGTCTGGGAGCCTTGGAGAAGGTTAAGCCATGTTTTTGGAGAGCTCGTCTTTTTAAAGCTTTTTCTCTGCTTTGGATTAGCACGACTTGCTCAGATCATTCAAGGGGAAAGAATTTCTTAAATCAAATGTACTTTTGCTGCTGAGGCTCTCCTGGTTTTGTTCCGGTCTCCTGCCCTGTCCCTGTGTCCCATCCCAGGAGATGCCCCGTGCTGCCGTTCCTGGGTTGTGGATGTAACGGAACACTGCTCCGGTTAAAAGCTGTTGGTGTTTTTCATTTTAACCATAAAAGTGTTTCCATCCCTCCCTGGGTTTAATTTACAGTTTGCAGCCAGATTGGAGCTGAGAAGGGATCCCATTGGTGGCTCATTTGTTTGAAGCTGTCAGTGTACAAATACATGTTCTGGGAATGCCAGCGGCGCTGGAGCAGGGGGGATGTGCCAACAGTGGGTCTCTTCTGTGTCCCAACCATGCCTGGATCTTCCCAGAGAAGAGCTTTCAGCTCCTGAGGGACAGGAAGCTGCTGCCTGCAATGGGGCTGCTGTGGGATTGGGGGGTGACCCACGTGAAAGCCCCCAGAGGCAAAGCTGGGCGAGCTGCATCCATTGATCCCACTCAGTCCTCTCCCAGGACTGTGCCAGCCCCACCAACCAACATGGGGATGGCCACCAGCTGGAAACAAGGGCTCACATGAGGATGCTTATGTTTTATAATGTTTGCAGCCATTTCTGTAGCATCTTCATGCACTCCTTTTGCGCTCAGAGGGAGAAAAGGCAGCGTTGGCTGGGCCACACAGGCTAACAGAATCTTCTCTCCTTCGCAGCCACGCTGGGGACGCTGGATTTCAGCTTGCTCTACGATCAAGAGAACAACGCTCTCCACTGCACCATCAATAAAGCCAAGGTATGGCTCAGGGCGTGGGAACAGGGAGGACTGACTTTGCCTGGAGGTGGGAAACTTTGTCCTGCCTTATGGGGCCACCCAGGTGCTGCAGCTGTGCCAAAAGTGCCAAAAGCTGCAAATGTGGCGGTGTCTGTGAAGCAGCTATTCCTTTGCCAGCTCCACTTCTATCCCAACACCCAGTGCCTCTGCCCTCTCCTTCCACTCCAGCCCTGCCTTTCAGGGCGTTTCCAGCAGTACAGAGACGGCTGCTCTTCCCCTTTGACGAGATCGTTGCAGCTATTGATGCTTTTTAGAGCAGCCCCTCCCGATGTTGTTATTTACTTGACGGCTGTGACCGGCTGTCAGTTTATAAATGGCTCTTTTAAATGCTGCTAATCACGGCCACAAAGTGCTGTGCCTCAGCGCCTTTGCCGTCTGCCTGATTGAAGCAATTAGGGGCTTTTTGCACATTTTGGAGCAGAAAGAGATAACTGAGGTCCTGATTCTGCCTCCAGGCCCGTGGGTGCTGCTGGGTTCCTCTCTGCTTCACCCAGCATGAGGACCAGAGCAGTGAGGGTACCAGGTCACCATGGCAGTGGTGAGCTGGGAGGAGAAGACCTAAATCCCTGCAGATCTTGGGAAGGTGTGGAGGGTTTTTACAGCAGTCAGGAGAACGGGCTGTGACCTGAGCCCCAGATGATCAGGCCATGCTATTTGCCTTCATAGGATGCATGTTTGCAGCCCCCACCCTGGCACCTGCTGTGCTGGGCACTGAGAATGCACGTCCCCACCCAGGGTTCTCCAAGACTCCAGCACCAAAGCTTGGCTTTGGGGATGAGCACAGAAACATCTGCCCTGGCAGCTCTAGAGCTGCTCCTGGCTGGGGGCAAGTGCAGCACCCACAGCTCCTGGGCAGGACTGCCAGGGCAGGGCTGGGGCAGACGGTGGGGTTTGTTTCCCTCCCTGTTGCCTGTGAATTCTCCAGCAGCCTCTGGGTCAGGCTTCCCTTGGCGCACTCGGGAGCGGTGCCAAGGAGGAGATTTCTAATTGTGTTTGGAGTGGGAGGAAGGAGACCTGTGAGTGGCAAGTGATAGATTTCACATCAGCGAGAGCAAGGGCAGGGCTGGCAAAGGAGAGCCCTGCCGTGCCCACCTGGCTCTGTCAGGAATAGTGGTGGCTGATTCCACCCCACAGGACTGGGGGTACCCCTGCACCTCCCCTGGCCACGGGGTGGGCAGAGCCCTCCTCGCCACCCTGACATTCAAGCACTCGAGTCCTGTTCATTTCCATTCTGCTCTCATTCTCCCATTTTTCTCTTTTATTTACATTGCCATCTGCTCGCTCTCATTTCATCTCTCGCCTGGGGAAAGCTGCCAAAACTTGACTACAGAAAGGTAAGGGCCAGGCCCCGGCTGCCGTCGGTGGGAGCCGGCGCCGGCTGTGTAGATGTTACAAGTAGTGCTGTAGAGGAGGAGATGGGCGAGTGCCAGGGCTGCACACACGAGCCCCAGCAGTGCTGGGACGTGCACTGCCCTTGCACCTGGGCTGGGTGTCCTGGGTACCTGTCTCGGCCCTCTGGGGAAGGTGCCCTCAGGATATATCCAACTCCTGCAGCTCCTGGAGCCTCAGCTGCTGCCAGCAGCCCTTAAAACCTGGACTATTTCAGCCATGTGAGACATGTTTTTCTTTCTCTCCGATAACCCCAAACAACCCCTCTCTCTCCCTTTATATCTCTTTGCTTCTCTCCATTTATTTTAGTCTCCAGCACTTTTCTGTCTGCTGATGTCCCTCACGAGTCCCGTTATCGGTTCCTGGGGAGCAGGGAGAGGGGAGCAGGCTCTTGGAGGCACCGGCAGCAGGTTCAATCCAACCTGTTGTGCTCCACCACCAATTTCCTGCTCTGCAACCATCAGCTGCTGTACTTTGCACGAGGCTGGGATAGTCACTCCATGTGGGAATTTACCCTGGTGCTGTGCCTGGGGACATCTGAGATGTTTCTTGGTGTAGGTTCACAGCAGGATCTGTGAGATGCTGGCAGTTTCCAGGCAGCCTCTGTGCCACCCTCTGGACCCTGTGGTGGCAGGGGCACAGGATCAGGTAGGATAAGGTGGGATCAGGTAGGATCAGGCAGTGTGGCCACCTCACACTAATGGCTCTCAGTGCTGGCAGTAGCCCTGCCATACTCTGCCTGTCACACTTCAGGCACGGCTGAACTCAGACACTTTGCAGCTCAGCTGGGATCAATAGGAGAATAAATCAGGGCATTATGGGGGCTCACTCCTGGACTGTGGGAACAGCCATGAGCCCAGCTGGCAGGAGGGCTCTCCCCACTCACCTCCTGCCCTGCGCAGACCCTGTGTACTCCCCTGGGGTTGTGCTGATCTGTACTGTCATGTGTGGGAAAGGGCTGGGATGCTCTGGGCATCACCTCTTCTTAGAAAATGGGGTGGAGAAGGGTTCAGTGAATGTGCAGGCACCCAGGCTGCTCAGTCCTACAAAGCCCAACCTGCTCCATGGAGCAAGAGGATAACCTGCTATAAGGGGATCACAGAATCATAGGACCTATGGGATCTGTAAAGGTGTGTGGCAGCACAGACACGATGGGCTGTGCTACCCTGTAGCTTCATTGGTCTCCTGCTTTCAGGAGGCAGATGCCCAGGATAAGCCTCAAGGGGGTGTATGGCAGTGGTGAAGGAGCTCCTGGCCCCAGGTGGGCCATGCCAGGCAGCTGCTGCCCGTGGGAGCATCCTTGGGCTGCTCTCCCTGCGCCGCTGGCCAGAAAACACCCGGGAGTTTCCACCCTGCCGAGCATTTGGAAGCTCCCTCCCTCCCAACAGAAACAAGTGCTGGAGGTCTCAGCAGTAATGCACTGAGCATTACTTATGGATTGAGTCATAAATATTTATCACTGCAGGGAAATTCCTGAAGCTGTGTGTCTCCTCTGGGCTGCTGGGGGGGGGGATGCACAGTTTGCCCCGTTTCGGGATGGGATGCCTTGGCCTGGGAGGTACCCAGGCTGGTTTTTGGGCAGCAGGGATCCTGCTCAGCGGGTAGGCAGCTCGTTGTGGGGTGAATGATGGAATGAATCCATCTCCTGTGATTGCTGCGTGCCTCCAGCGTGGCGTTAATCGGCAGCCCGATTAGCCCAACTTGTAATTAAATCCTATTGATTAGCTAAATGTCGCTGGCACGGAGAGCAGCTGGCAGAGGCTGGGATGCAGGGAGCTGGAGGTCTCCGTAGGATTGCAGCAGAGATTTTGGGGTTGGGCAGAGGAAGGGAAAAGATGAAACTCAGTCTCCTCTCCGTTGCCTGTGCCACGATGCACAGCACCATAAATCAGTCCCAGCAGCAGGATTGGCTGGAGCCAGGGAGGTGCCCTGGATGGATCCAGGGGGAAGCTCTGCTTCCATATATGAGCCTTGTTGCTCTTCTCTGCCTCTCAGCTCTCTCGGAGCAGCTTTAGGTTGGCAATCCCTCCACACAGGTACTGATCACCCTGTGGGTTGTCCCTGTGGGAGGGATGAGCTCCCACGGGAGCAGCTTTGCAGGGCAGAGCCCTGTTAAATTCAGCTGTGTGCTACACACGTATCAAGTGACATGGGAGGGAGGTAGACGTGACATTAGGAGCTATTTTCCAGGCTCCTGTCACTCCATCTTCCATAGCACATCTATTAAAAAAGCCTTTAATAGCCTCTTCAGAAGGTAATTTAATTGAGCTGAATTGATGGGTGAATTACAGAGCTGCCTGTCTTTCTCTATCCATTTTCATGGGAATCTGCTTGCTTGTTTCTGATTTCATTTGCTGTGCAGCACTGGGCAGGTGGGCACCTCTGACTGGGGAGGCTGGAGAGAGCCTGGGTCTCTCTGAGTGGACTGTGTAGGTGATCCCTTCTGGAGTCTGGGGACAATCCAGCCCATTCCTGCCCTGTCTGCCCATGGAGCCACAGCCAATACCACCATCTTCCTCCCAGTATCTGCTGGGGCAGGGACATCACCCACAGGCTGCAGTTAAAGCAGGGACATTTCACCTCCATTCGCTGCTGGTATTTTTATCCTTTTGGCTCTGCTTTAGAAGCAAAATCCTCTTTCCTGAGCACCATTTGGCCTCCCTTGCCCCAGGGCAGCTTGCCTGTCTCTGAAGCAGAGCCCTTGTCTCTGAAGCAGAAGCTTTGCTCCAAATCAGAGACATTCCCAAGGTCAGGAACATCCTGCACCTTTGGCCAGGTTATGCAGCTCGGGGAGGGGGGTGGAACAGGGCATCACAAGAAGCTGCTGTGGCTCTGTGGGTTAGGCTGGGTGAGTTCTTCCATACATGTGAAATATGGAAGCGATTTCCCTCATTGATTTGCCCAAATCCAGGCCTTAATGATTAGATTTCCACTGCACACAGCCATTCCAGCAGCAGTCCATACAAATGCTTTCCTGCCAGGTGGATCCCTGGCAGCTGCACAGACTCATTATCCAGACAGTGAGTACTCTCCTTATCACAGAAAGGGTGTGAAAAGTCTTTAGCTTCACCCAGCCTGATCTCCATGCCCAGTTAGGAGTCAGGGTTGGATGGATACTTCTGCAGAGAAACCCTCCTCTGATCCAGGCACAGAATTGCCTTCAGCCAGCCCAGCAATAACTCCTGCAGGGATCCCACAGCCAGGCTGGAAACAATCCAAGGACTTCCACGATGGAGCCATTCTCATTTCTGCTTAGGACTTGTGAAAATTAGGCTCCATTTTTCATGCTCCTGAGTTGCTTCCTTGCCCTGTGGAGTCTGTTTCCATGCAGTCTGTGCAGTTATGGCTTTGGGCTGGGTTTGTGCATCGCCCTTGGATAATTTTCAGGTTGTTTAGAAGAGGCACAGAGGCACAGCTTGTGTCCTCCCTCTTCCCAAAGCAGGATCAGCTCCAGAGCATTGCTATAACAGACGTGATCCACGTCATCCTTTAAGAGCTGTGAGGGTGTTGTGTAAAATCCATCAGGAATGGCTGCAGCGAGTATTTCCTTGTGTCTGTGCTCTGGTGCCCCCAGATTTCCTTGCAAACACCACAGCATTCAGCTGGCACCAGCCTCCCACTGGCCTGAAGCAGTTCTTCCTTCAGCTGTGCCTTAATAACACAGAGTAGGTAGGTGCTATCACACCCTCTGGGAGCGCTTAGAAGTAGCACCACAACAGCAGAGGTGTGTGTTTGCTCATAAGCAATTATTAAATGACAAAACCCTGTAATTTCAAACCTCAGAAGTCACTGTGCTGATTTGCTTAACCCCCAAATTAATTGTGATGAGGATGGCAGAGTCAGGCTGCTGGGAGAGCAGAGCAGTGCCTGGTGGCCAATGCCAAGTGCAGGTGAGGAGCTTCCCACTTCCCACAGCCCCTCCTTGGCTCCACAGATGGCGTTGGAATGCTGAGCATGTGTGGATTTGCTGCCCGGCCTGGATCCTGCAGCAGCCACGCTCCCCTCCATCCCCAATCCTGAGGAAATGCAATTACTCCCTGGACCAGCCATATCCCAGGGAAACAGGCATTGGTGGATGGGCTCAGTGAAGCCACCCTTCCTGCCCAGCATCCTGCTGTTATCCTGACTCCTGCTTTTTGCTGTTCCCTCTCCAGGGCCTGAAGCCGATGGACCATAATGGGTTGGCTGATCCATACGTCAAGTTGCACTTGCTTCCCGGAGCCAGTAAGGTGAGACACGTTTTCACTTCTCCTTCTCTTCCTGGGGCTGTGCCTTTTCCTTGGAAATTAGACCCAGGAGGTTCCCCAGGGAGAAGCTCCTCACCCAGGGGCTGCTGCAGCCAGGCCTCGAGCCTCCTGCCCATCTCTTGAGTAAAAAGTCCTTAGAGAGAGCAGGAGGTAAGAACTGGGGCTAAATCCATCCTCATGGAGTAGAAAATACCTTTCTGGGAAACCACTGCCTGGGAGTCAGGTGCCATCCCTGACTCCTCATCTTGGGAGCAGGGGATGCAAATGCTGCTCTCCAGGAGCCCCTGGGAAGCACTGAGTGAAGCAATCTGAAGCTATAAACAAACCAGACCCTTTTAATTTTTATTTTTTTTTTGTCCTGTTTCTTTTACATTTTAAACCCCTCAGATCATAATAAAACAGAGTATAAATCATAAGGGAAATATTTCCATCTCCTTAGGTTCAGCGCTTGCTGGAGAGAAGAGTAATTAAAGATATTGATGTGTAGTGAGAGCTTGGTGTAACTGATGGGGATGTGGAATTTAAATGCTAAACGTGTGTGTTATGAATATTAATTGCACTCCTATTCTACACAAAAGGAAAGACCTTTTTTGGGGAGGTATATTTACTTGTTACGGTTCAGTTGAATTAATTCATAATGTTCAGGGCGGTAGAGGGAGTTTTTAACCACATTTCGAGTTCCACTGGAATTAGGAGAGCCGGGAGCGCTTTCATCAGCGATATTATCTGTCATTTCCATGTTTTGCAAATGCATTGATTAGCATTTCTGCTGGAGGTGGTGGAGAGTGGAGAGGTAGGAGGGGAGCGCTGAGCTGAGGGTAGTGCAGGTGCTGCAGACTCCACAAGCCTGGAGCGGCCGTGGGGGGACCCTCTCCTTGCCCCCACATTCCAAACAGCACTGTCCGGATCTGCCCTGGGAGAGGAGAGCAGGTCTGGGGGGATCACGGGTGTGTCCTGGGCTGGATGTTCCTGTACAGGTGTTCCAGCAGCAGGACTGTCCCTGAGTTCCTCGGGTGTTCCCGTCCCAGTCTTGGGCTCTCAGCCACCTGTGGCAGAGCTGTGGGAAGCAGGGCTGGAATTCATTCCTCATGCAGAGCTGGAATTCATTCCCTGTTAAACCCTCCACGTGAGCTGGTTACTGACTACTGAGTCATTCCAGATGGGAGAAAAAGGCATTCCCAGAGCTCAGCTCCTCTGATCTAATTCATGTCCCTTGCCCAGGGCAGCGTTAGCTGCTGGGTGATGCCCATCATGTCACCCCTGTGGCTAAACCCACTTTCCCTGCTGACCCCCAGAGCCCCAGCCCCAGGATGTGTTACCCACAGGTCTGAGCAGGCAGTGGGTGCCCTGCTGTCCTTGTCACCCTTCAGCAGGCTTTAGAGTCCCTGTCTGATACGTATCCTGCTGCTTGGGCTGGAGCCTGGCATGGTGGCCACGATATCACCGAGAAATGAGGTAAAATAGATGTGAGATGGAACCTGGTACAATAAAGTGCCTCAATTGAAGCAACTTTACAAAGTCAGGAAAGATTTAAGGCAAGCAAGGTATTAAATCAAAGGTGACAGGAGGCCATAAATGAGAGCACCTGCCTGCAGTCCCCTTCAGTTTGCATCACTCTGTCGTTGGGCACGTGGGGATGGACTCAGCAAGGCTGGTGCCCGTGCACAGCCAGGCTGGCAGCTTCTCCTCCTGCAAACCAGCTCCTACCTAAGTGATAGAAAAGCCATTGGCATTGCAGGGCTTTAAATGCTGCTCCTAATTGAGACCCTGCCCCTGCATCCCACTCAGCTCATGGAGCATCCTGCCTTGCTCCAGGGGTATCCTCTTCCTAACCTGGTTGGGTGTTTTGCAGCTCCACAGCTCTGGACAGGGCATGGGTTGATTTCAGAGTCAGAAATGGCTTTGGAAATGCAAGTGAGAGCACAGCACAAACTCCAGAGGTGTTCTCCATCTCTGAGGGATCAAACCCAGAGCAAGCAGCTGCTTTGCACAACACACTGGGAGTGAGCCATCCCTCAGTAGTTCTGCTGCACTGGCAGCTCCAACTGGTGGCCACCTCCAGCTGATCTGGAAGGGGTTGTGTGGTTGGGATGCTTTTGGTTTGGGAAGGACATGACAACAAAGTGACCCCCCTCATGCTGCAAGAAGGAATTTCCTTCTTCACCCCCGGCTTTGCATCCCGCTCACATTCAGCTCAGGGCTGGTGAACCCCAGGTGGGGAATGTAGCAGCTTCCCATAAAGACCCACGAGATGAGGTGTTGATGTCCTGAGAGTTCCTTATGCCCAGCAGCAGCTGAGGCAGGGATTGAGCTGTCTGACACCTAATTAGAAGGAAAATTGCTGCTCTGCCAGGCTGTGCCAGGCTGGGGGCTGGTGAGGAAGCCCCATCTGCAGCCTCAGACCTTTGCTCCTGCTCTCCCCCTGCCCCAACAGAAACAGGGATCTCAGGGAATAAGAAGATTAATGTCCCCAGGGCTGGGGAGTGGGTGTGTGCCAGGATGCCCCACCAATGCCAGGAACACAAGCCCTGCTGTCCCTGTCCTCCCACTCTGCAGAGCTGCAGCGCTGGAAGGAGTTGCTGGTGCTGACAAAACGCGTATCAAGGAAGTTATTTTGAGTCAGGCAGGATTGGGAGCTGTGCTGGGAGTGGGAATGCAAACAAACAGCCAGAACAGCAAATTGGTATTTTTTAATGAACCTGAAAAGGCTTTTTTTCTTTCCCCTCTCTCTCGCTTTCTTCTACTGCATAAATGAAATCCGCGTCCCCGCTCCGTGCTCTGCCAAGGTTCCCATTTTGCTGGCTGTTTCCAGGATGTGGGATGTGGGGTTGGATTGCTTGGCAAATCAGCGAGTTGCTGTGTCTCTGCCCCTCTGGTTATTGCTGCAGTCAGGGTGGACTTGGGCTACCCCATGGAGGACTGGCCAGGTTACAGTGCTCGGGCAGAAGGGCACCAGCACCCATTGCCCCTTCATCTCCAAACTGGGCTTCCTTTTCTCCCCACTCCCCACCCAAATGACCTCCTGGGGCTGATTCCCACTGACCACAACCTCCTCTGCTCTTCCAGGCGAATAAGCTGAGAACCAAAACGCTGCGCAACACTTTGAACCCCACCTGGAACGAGACACTCACCTACTACGGCATCACCGACGAGGACATGATCCGCAAGACCCTGCGGTAGGGCCCGGGGGGTGAGGGGGTGCTGAGCCCAGTGCTGGGGGGACACAGCCCTGCCCCACAGGAGAGTCCTGGTGCTGCTCATGGCAGAGCCAAGCAGAGTTCTCACCCACCAAAGCCAAAGCCTGTGTGTGTGCTCTGCACAATCCGTCACCCCCTCGGTGACCGACGCGTGATTTACAGGCAGCTTGGGCTGGAATAACCAGTGAGGGGCATGTTCCTGCTTTGTCATTAACTTCATAACTCACTGGCTGGCTCCTGCCTGCAGAGGAGGTGGTGGGGTTTGGGTTTAACCTCTTTGTGCCCAGCTCTTACGGGCACATGTTAAGGCTTTGTGGTCTTGTCTTGCTGAGAAAATCTCCCCAGGGAAGTTCTAGGGCCCTTTCGAGGCTGAGCTTTTTGGAAGAAAGCTGGAGGCATCTGTGAATTATTGTCAAACTAAACAAAGAGTGTTTGTATTTATTCTGTGATTTATATTCTGTTGGTTTGGTTCAGTCTCTGTGCATTCAGCATCTCCCAGGGGCTTGGAGAGGTTGTGTGGGGCTGGAGGTGGGCAGGGGCGGGGTGGTGGGATGGGGTGAGGTTGGAAGTGATGCTCTGCAGGGAGCAGATGCCTGTGAATGCAAAGATTTTTATGTCTTGGCCTCTGTCCCGCCTGGGTGAGGGCAGGGAGTGACCCAGATCCTGAGGACAGATCCTGCTCAGGGGGGGTGCTGGGCATCCTCAGCTGCTCCATCACTGCGCTGATCTGGGACTGCGCTGCAGGATTTGCTGTAAGATCTGCTGTCAAACAAAGGAGGATTTTGCCTCCTGCTCCAAGGACTCAGGGCTTTGCCAGCTCCGTGGCTGGAATCCCACCCTCCTCATTTGCAGGTGCCCTGGGAGTTTGTGATTTTCCCCATGACAGGAGCACAAAGCTGCCTTATTAAAGGTCCTGCTCAGAGGTGAACCGGAGCAGAGCCCACCTGTTGTCTGCGATGTGCATAGAGATGGGAAATTCAGTGCCATGGATTATTATTTCACTTGGAAAACATTAGTCATGCTGGAAGTGCTGCAGGCTGATGGGGCTGGAAAGCCTCTGGTTTGTTATTATTATTGGTGGGTATTTTTTCACTCCAGGCTTTGAAGTTTTCAGCCTCCTCAAGCGTGGAAATCAGTTTGTAGGGAGACGCTCGGCTGAGTTGTTTGCTGGAAGGCAACGGGGAGCAGGAGGACTCGACCCCCACCTTTTCAGGGCCCTGGGAGCTGCTTCTCCCTGGGAAAGGGCTGTGATCCTGGAAGCAGCAGGGAGGTGTGAGGTATCCAGTGGCTGGGGGGATGTGCAGAAACATGTGCAGAGCTGGATTTGCCCTCTTCCCCATAGGAATCCAGTGTTAGCACATCCCATTCCTGCCTGCCAGCCTGGGTGCTGTGGAGCTTCACAGGGGGATTCCTGACTAGGTTGGTTAATGGCAAATTAACCCAAGGTAGCTCCAAAGGCTCCTTTCCAGGGAGCTGAGGGAAACCTATGGCCCAAAGAATTCTTCTGCTAAAACAAAACTTCTGAGCACCATGGCCTCATCTCTTATCTTGTGTGGGGAACCCAGAGCCTAAAATTCAAGAGCTCTTCATTTTTCTTAAGAACAATTCCCCAGCCCCCTTTTCTCTTTTATCCATCTTCGCAGTTGAAGATATTGGCAGAGGAGATTTTATTTATCCTGAGTCAGTTTTAGATGAGATGAGACTTCTTGCACACCAGACACAAGGTAAAAAAACACCCAGTCTTTTATTTTAATGTCTTGCTTGGATTTGCTTCTCTTCAAACACCTGGATGGTTCTTTGAGTAGAAGGATGCTGAGAACTTGAACCTCCTCATTTAGATATCAGCTGAATTACAGAATCTCAGAATGTTTTGCACTGGAAGGGACTTTAAAGCTCATCTCATTCCACCTTCCACTATCCCAGGTTGCTCCAAGCCCCATCCAACCTGGCTTTGGACACTTCCAGGGATGGGGCAGCCACAGCTTGTCTGGGCAACCTGTGCCAGGGCCTCACCACCCTCACAGGGAAGAATTTCTTCCTGATATCCAAACTGACAGTCTTTGAGTATTTCGTTGTGGCTTGAGCTGTTTCTCTTCTCTCCTCCACGACACCAGTGGCAATGGCCCCTCACTCTCCCAGTGCCACTTCCCACAGGAAGCATCTCCCGTTGTCCTTTCTTTGGTGCTTTGCTTCGCCCATCCATCATCTCATCAAAATATCTCCTTCTCCATCAGGAAAAGCCAACTTCAAAGCGGGGAAGACGCTGGTTTTCCCTGTGCTAATCAGTCGAGGCTCCTGCCAGGCAGCTGGTGGTACTTGAAAGAGCATGAGTGATGCTCCCCTCGGTCTGGGCGGTGACCGTTCCCCGGGAGCCTCCCTGGTGCTGAGATCCAGGGAGGGGCAGGGAACTCGATTGCAGAGTCTCTTTAATGTGAAAATAACGGTGGAGATCAAAGCTGCCGCCAGCCTTCGCCTCCCCGCTGCCTGGAGAGCTGGAAAAGCACCCAGAAATCTTTCCTGCCCACCCGGGCTCCTGGAAGGGACGTGTCCAGCATGGATTGGTGGGGTGGTGCTGGAGTGGGGCACTCTACCAGAGCCTGCAGCTCTCTTCAAGGGGACGAGTGGCATTTGTTGGAGCAGCCGGAGCAGGGACATCCTGGAGAGCTGGGCGATGGATCCCCTCTTTCCTGAGCCCCCCGGCTGTACCCATTGTCCAAACTGGTCAAGTGGCTTTGCAGTGACAGACCCCAGGAGCTACCAGGGTTCACTTCCCCAAGCAGGGCCCCCCCCCAGGCAAAGGAGAGGTGAAGGCAGCCCAGCTGATTGCGCTGGCAAGCAGGGATTTTGTTAATGAATCAACCCCCTCAAATAACACCAGATACTTTGGATTTCGTGAAGCACAGCAGGTGGGAGGATCTCAAAAGGTCTCATCCATTCATTGAATTAAATATCCCTGAGTCTAGCCCAAGGCTTAACAGGGATGAAACCACCCACCAGCCTGGGAGAAAGCAAGTTCACAGCCGTGTGGAAGGTGCTGGACTCTGAGTGCACAGATGGATGGGCTGAGGGGCAGGTTCCCTGGCAGCACTGAGAGGGAAAATCTCACCCCACAGTCCCCACTCTCATCTGGGCTCCAAGCATGACCGTGTGGCAGCAGTTTGGAAGCTCTGTCCAGTGGTGGGAAGCCAAGGTGCGTGTCAGGGGGAGGCAGAGAAATGCTGCAGGGGAAATTGGAATAGGCAGAATATAATCACCTACATTTAAATAATGCATGTAATATGCAATAAATAAATTGTATTCATAATAAATATCAGAGCTGGCCAGATATTGGATACAATTATTCATATCCAGATGTATTGGCGAAGTGATGCATTATTCATATGATACTCAGCTAGCCCACAAATGCCAGGAATTCTTTGTTTAATCATGTGTTTGACAAACATCATGACTCATTAAATATATTATTCAGAAAATAGTATTTGATCAGGACTAATAGGCGTAGTGAAGACACTTGGAGGTTTGGGGTCCTGAATTGCTTTACTCTGGAAGTGGTGAATGGGGTTTGCTCAGAACTGCAGGTGCCCTTGTAATTGTATCTCACTTCTCTGTGGTTTCTGTGCTCACACTTTGAGGCTTTTTGTGATGGAGCCCAGAACCGAATCCTCCTTCTGTTTTTCGGACAGCTGGACAGTTCCCAGGTGCAGACTTTTGCTGTTTTCCCTCCTTGCCTGGTGTTGCCTGTCCTTAAGCCAAGCCGGCATCACCTGCACGTTCGCTCCTCGTTGAGAGCCAAGTTGCTATAGGGACCAAAAGGGATCTTGGGCATGGAGGATGCATCCTCAGGCTCTGCTGCCTATTGTGTGTGTGTGTGTTGTGGAAAAGGGTCTTTGTTGACCCCCATTTCCCCTTTCCACACTGGGAAGGAGGCCGGAGGAACGTGTGTGAGAGCAGAAGCCGTGAGTCAGCGGAGCAGGGCTGCTGGAGCTGCGCAGTGAGTCAGGGCTGTAACCCAGGAGCCCGGGCTGAGTAGGAGGCAGAATAAGTTTAATGAGCAGTGGTTGTTCATTTGCTGCTTAGTTTTCTTCCAAGGTGGTTTTCACAGCCCTTAACTTAAAGATCAGGACCCCACAGTGAAGATATCAGACCAAACGCTGAGCTGGAGGGATTGGGATTCACGGGGAGAGACGAGGGATGGGTGGTGCTCGAGTTACAAGCTCCGGATGGCAGGTGAACGAGGCTGCTGGAGGCGTCTCGTGCTGTTTGTCAGGGAGCTGATTTTCTAACCCAGGGCATAAAAATTCCATCACATCGATTTCTCGTAATAAAATTCAAGCTGGTGTAATTGCATTATGCCATTTTCCAAAGGGAGGGCTGGGGCTGGAGCTGCCTGCTCATCTGACTCACTGCTCCTGCCTTCACCGATGGGCCGGGGCACTGCCAGCCTGCCCGAGCTAAAAATACCATCCCAGTGGGGATAAACCGCAGCCAGGCAGAGGGTTTGGGGTTGGGGACTGAGCCTGTGGCACTGGGAGGGCTGGCATGAGACCCCGACTGAACCCCTCTGGGCATCACACACCGATGGGCACAAAAGGTACAGACCCACCTGAGAGGTGGCTGGAGATACCAGAGGGAAAACAGGGCTGGGAGAAAGCTGGTGGTGTCTCTGGCTCTGTCGTCCTGCTTGGGGCAGCAGCACTTCCCAGGTCTTGCAGATGTGCCAGAAACTACTTCCCAGGGGACACGGCTCTGCATAAACACAGGGGCTTCCCATGTCCCTGTGGGCAGTGAAATGAGACTTGGTGGAGCTCTGGGGCCTCTCCCAGTGTGACACTGGAGATGCCCTCCCTGCCACCACCAGGGAAGTTTTCCATGCGTTTCCTTCCTGGTTTTCTGCCCATCCTGGATGTGCCTGGGGCTTCACAGCAAGCAGGATCTTGTTGTGCTTCTGGGGTGTACCTAGACATTGTCAGGACAAGATCTTGTTACTCACATGTTTAGGAGGGCAAACCATCCCAAATCCTGTCTTCCTGAGTGCCCGGGAGCCAGCACTGCTCCACGATTGCCAGGTGTACAAACATTCCCAAGGCTGTCAGCTCCCTGTGAGGCCATGTCCCCTCCTGTCCCCCCCTGTTCCCTCCTGTCCCCTTCTCTCCAGCCCAGCCTTCACATCCCTGCCCTCCCTTTCCCTCCCCAGCTTTGCCCAGATGGACACACGCCTGGCAAGTGTTGTCTCCAAAGCTGCTGCTGCTGCTTCTTTTTCAGTTTTGTTCTTTAAAAGAAAAGCAAAAGGAGGGAAGGAAATAGGGAATATTGTGCCTGCATTTGAGATCCTCTTTGAGGGTTTTACTGTTGCAGTGGGGTGTTTTTTTCGTGGGTATCTATAGTAACGCTGCATCCAGCTACAGTTTTCTGGAGAGCAGCATTCCATGTCTTCCCGCTTCCATTGTTTTTTTTTTCCCAAATCCCTTTCCTCTGCTGCTCCCTGATCTTTGTGCCATGCCACTGAGCCATCCCATGGCTTCCTTGCATCCTTTTTATTCACTTGTGAGCATGAGGGTGGTCAGACTGCCTGTAGATAAGCCACTAAACTATCCACAGATAAACCACCCATGGACAAACCATCCATGCATAAACCATCTGTAGACAACCCATCCACGGGTAAGCCATCCAGGCACTGAGCAGACTAGAGGTGTAGGGTGCAATTAGTTACTCTCAGGTGGGATCACAGCACACTATTTATCTTTAATTACTTTTTCCCCCTTCCCGTGCCATCCCTGGAGGCAGAGGTGCCACCCGTGGGAAATGGACACCAACAGGAGTGGGTGAAAGAGAAGAAAGGCAGGTAGCAAAAGGATGGGAAGACACTGTAGGAATATTTTTTTAAAGAAGGAGAAAGCAAAGAATGTAAGAGAAGGGAAATGTCTTTCCTTTATGGGCAGGGAGCCCAGCCGCTCCCTGCGTGGCTCCAATGAGGATGCGGGATGCTGGATGCTCCCTCTGGAGGGGGATGGGATGGCATTCCCTGTCACCGTGTCCAGACAGCACTGCTGGGGAACAGCTGGTCCCTCAAGGCAGCCACCACCCTCCTGGCCCCTCTGGGATTTCAGGAGCAGCAAGCAGAGCCTCCCTGCAAGCACTTACTTTGCTCTTCCTCGTCTCTCCTCACGCCCAGAGCGGGCTGGGAAGCAGCAGAGGAATGACTCATTAGCTGCCAGCTCAGGGAAAGGCATTTATAGCTTTCTCACGGAAAACAGCCTTGGCTCAGCTCCACTGTCACTGCCCTCAGCTGCATCCCAGGACCCCAGCGGGGCTGGGAGAGCTGCTCCAGGCTCAGGTGTGGTGCTTTCCACGTGCTGGGGCTGTAAATCCTTCATGTGCTCGTCTGCATGGTGGGAGAGGAGGTGGCAGATCCACCCTGTGCCCCAAGCTGGCAGCCAGGGTCACCCTGAGAGCTGCCACACTCTGAGCAGTGCCTGAGCCCCTCGGGTGGGAGGGAAGGAGCTCTGTGGGAGCAACACCTCTCCCGGCTGCACAGTCTGAGGGTGGTTTGAGGAAGACTCTCCATGGCCAGGCAAAATGCAGCTGGGCTGGTGGCAGCTCAGTAGTTTTACTTTAGTCACTGATGACTTTGTTTTAGTGGAAGAGCCACTAGGATGTTTGAGGTTGCTTTTCCAGCAGTGCCTGGGCTGGGACCTGCGTTAGACACCGACTCACACCAGGAGCTGCCCCGGCCAGGCTGTGGCAGCACTTGAATGCTCTCCAGCTGCCTGAGGAGGAGGTGCCCAGTCAGTGGGCTGGGGAACAGTGACCTGGGTTGTCCCCTCTCTGAGGGGACCTGCAGTACAATGGGGCAGCCCGTTCCCTCGTGCCATCACCTCCCCTCTCCCCAGCATCCCCACTCACCCCATGCCCGTTGCAGGATCTCGGTCTGTGACGAGGACAAGTTCCGCCACAACGAGTTCATTGGGGAGACGCGGATCCCGCTGAAGAAACTGAAGCCCAACCAGACCAAAAACTTCAACATCTGCCTGGAGAAGCAGCTGCCGGTGAGTGGCAGGTTCAAAGCCACGTCCCCACCGTGGGACTGTGTGTGTAGCAGCTTGCATGTGGGACTGTGGGAGCACCCCTCACGCTGGGGAGGTGGGTGTCCGGCCGCGGAACAGCTCCCAGACTGGGTGCATTCCCTCCTGCAGATAGATAAAACAGAGGACAAGTCGCTGGAGGAGCGTGGCCGGATCCTCATCTCCCTCAAGTACAGCTCTCAGAAGCAGGCGCTCCTGGTGGGCATCATCCGCTGTGCCCACCTGGCTGCCATGGACGCCAACGGCTACTCCGACCCCTACGTCAAAACGTGAGTCCTGCCCCGCGCCAGGTGAGGCACGGCCACGAGCTGTGCTGTCCCCTCCCGCCTCTCCCCGGAGTGGAAATTAATAGATCTCATTAGGAGATGCAAATGAGGGCGCCACAGCAGCAGCTGGTGTTTGCCCGGAGCGTTGTTGTTCCCTGGCAGTCGTTTTGCAGAGCTCCCAGGTAAGGTGGGTGTGGGAGCTGCCTGGTGGTGCGTGGCTGTGCCCGCCCTGTGCCGGGGCATCCTGCTGTCCCTGCTGTGGTACTCACTGCCAGGCTCAGCTCTACCCTGGGAGACGGTCTGCAGCAGGGATGTGGCCCTGGGGACAGAGTTAGTGGCCCAAAGCAGACAGGTACAGTCGGGTTTTGCTGATGGGTTAGGGCACAGGCATCCCCCTCCTCTAGCCCCAGGGGATGGGCAGGTAATCACCCACTTCCCCAGGTCCCAAGGGAGAGGAGATTCCCAGCCCAGCTCTCTAGAGCCCAGCTCCCAGCCACCACCCTGCACTTGGGAAAAGCTCTAATTACAACGTGTGCGTAATTAGGTCAGACAGCACTTTAATGGCAACCCACGGCTCCGGTGGCTCCAGGGCCCTGTTAACAGAGCTGAGGGCACGTTCACAGGTCCCGCTGACACTTCCCGATGTAAATGACTGGGAGCACCTTCCTTTTGAAAAACATCAGCGATATGAAGTACAGTCATTCAAATGACTGTAATGGGCTGCTGACTCAGCCTCACCCAAGTGATTTGGGGAAGTTGGTGTCACCCAGGGGCTTTCCAGAGATGCTGAGGGAGGTGATGGTTTGCTGATGCAGACCCAGGCTGGTGTGAGGCCCTGGATTGCTGCTGGTTTTTTTGGGGGGGAATGGTATTTTTCACATTCACTCTCTGCAAAGAAAGGGTGGCCATGGAATGGAAGGACCAGCAGCCCTCCCTGTGCCCATCCCACATCCCTGTTCCCACAGCACTCACGCAAACTTGGGCACTTTCAGGGACAGCATTTAAGGCAGAACTACTGGGATAAACCACGCCTGGGAGACCAGTAATGGAATTTATCAGCAGGACACTTTGACCTTCCTATTTAATTGTTCTTTAGGGGTGGAGGTGTTTGTATAAAAATCCCCTCTTGCTTTTTTAAATGCCCAAGAGCAACACAATTCCCATTGTTGAACCCAACTTGTTTTAGGTGCCATCCACAGGAGACTGTATCAGCAGGGCTGGAATCAGAGCAGATAGAGAAGTGATGCTTCTCAGTACAAGCCCTAATTTTTTAATTATGAGCAAGATCTGGAAAGTGTAACAAGGAAGCAGAACTGATATTTAAAGGCACGGCACCAGCACAAAACGACAATGGATTGACTCTGCTCTGGCCCAGATTTCAGGTGCTCTCTCTGATGACACTTTAATCTTGTTTGCTCTCCAGCCCTGCTGCTCTGCTGCAGAATATCCACAGGGAACAGTGGTGCCTAAAGCTGCAGTTGCCACATTCACTCCTGCTCCCTTTTCCACACTGCATGTGCTTCCTGTCTCCTGGAGAGACTCAAGATGAGCAGACTGGTAGCAGAGTCCCAGGTCTGGACTGGGACTGGGCTGGGAGTGATTGGTTTTGGGAGCTGGGAGCGTGTGTGCAGTGCCAGTGTCCCCTAGGGACTGGAGATGGGATAATCAGTGCTCTCTGCAGCCAGCAACTTGCTTGTGCTAAGGTCAGGAAATGCTGCCTCCTCCCAGCATTCCCAACATTTTAGCAGGGGAAGACAGGGGAAGGAGAGCCACGGGTTCACGGGACTCAGTTGCCCACCTCATCCTGCCTCCACTGGGATCTGGTCCCATCCTGCCCTCCTCAGCACCCACGTGTGATGGGGCTGCTTCAATCTCGTTGCAGATACTTGAAACCAGATGAGGACAAGAAATCAAAGCACAAGACGGCGGTGAAGAAGAAAACACTGAACCCTGAGTTCAATGAGGTGGGTTTGGGGTGGTTGTGGTTCTCAACGAGGGGCTTTTCTCAGTGTTCAGACTTAAAAGATAAAAACGACACCTTAGTAACTATGTGGGGGATCGGGGTTGGGTTCCCTGTGGGTGGCAAAGGGCAGCAGCCCAAGGAGGAGGATGGGCAGCCCCAGCTCCTGTTTCATCCTGAGCTGTCTCTGCTCCCCCACAGGAGTTTTGCTATGAGATAAAGCACGGCGACCTGGCAAAAAAGACCTTGGAAGTCACCGTGTGGGACTATGATATCGGCAAGTCAAACGATTTCATAGGTGAGTGGGGCACTCCAGAAGGTCTCTTTTTTATTTATCTTCACTATCTGTGCCTCTTACTTTTTCATCTGCTGCTCTTCTGCACTTCTCCATCCCCACATTCATTCTTGCTGGGTTTTGGTTCTACTTTTATCCCTCTCCTGCACCTGAGCCTCTTCTCCCACACGGACATCCCCCGTGTAAGGAGCACCCAAGCAGGGAGAAGATGCATCTCCCTCTCCCCTTCTGTTTTCAGATCTTTTCCTCTGAACAAAAAACCAGGTTTAACAGGGAGGTTTCATTTATCTCTGTTGGGTATCTGGGCTTGTTGTGATTTTGCTCCTAGTCTCTGTGATTTATCACTAACAAGTGCCCGGTATCTCTGACAGCTGCTGCGACTGCAGTGAGCCCTTGGCACAGGAACAAGCTGCCTGGGACAGGCCCCAGCTCCCAGCCATGAGGGGGGAGGGAAAGATGGGCTACAATTGCCTGTGTGTCACATCAGGTCGTGGCACTGGATGCTGTGAGGATGGTGCATGCCCTGGCTCCATCCTGCATCCTCCAGCATCCCCTGGGCATCCCTCGGCATCCCTCGCAGGGCTGACGTTCCCGCCTCACCTCTCCCCGTCTCTGTCTCTCTCCCAAGGTGGAGTGGTGTTAGGAATTAATGCCAAAGGCGAGCGGCTGAAGCACTGGTTCGACTGCCTGAAGAACAAGGACAAGAAGATCGAGCGCTGGCACACGCTAACGAACGAGCTGCCGGGCGCCGTCCTCAGCGACTGAGCTCCACGGGGCCGCTCCCGGGCGGCCACAGCTCCGCCACAGCCTTTGGACTTCTCTCCTTTACGGCTTCGGATGCGGGGGATCACGGCACCGGGGCAGCCGGGAGAGCGGGACACCCCCCGGCACGGCCTGGCTGCGGGGAAACCCCTGCCAAGGGGAGAAGGCGGCGGCGCTTTGCTCCGCCCAGCCCGTCCCAAAACTGCCTCCCTGCACCCTGACACACTCATGGCCCTGCCCACGGGCATGCACGTGCACACACACATATGTGCACACACACATATGTGCACACACACATATGTGCACACACACATATGTGCACACGCACACACGTGTGCACACACACACACACACACACGCGTGGACACCTCACGCCTGCATGCTCTGCAGTCTGGCTCCTCTCCCAATCCTGGCTGTACTGAGTTACCTTCTCGCTGCCTTGCAATTCAAGTGGCAACAATGAATGCGTCCGTCTGCGTCCGTGTGTCCAGCATCGGCAAAAGGCGTCACTTCAAACCTGGAACTGTTTTTCCTCAAGGCAAAACTGTGCCATATCCCTGGTGGTTTGTCAAGTCTCTGTGGTTTGGGCCTAAACAGTCTTTTACGCATTTAGATCTCCTCTGTTGGAATGATTGTGTCCCTGGTAACCTGGAAAGAGCGTTTGCTTTTCTTCCAGGAGTGTTGTGCTCGTCCTCTCCGATAACTCATGTGAAGTCGGCACAGCTGTGCAGACCACGGTTTTCCTCTTGGGATCGGGCAGCTTCACGTTTGGGAGGCAAAAAAAAAAAGGCTCAGTGAAGCCCCTGGCTGTTCCTGCTTCCCAGGATCCGCAGCCACCACTCTCCTGATGAAACCACGCCTTCCCGCCCAGAGCCACGCAGCAGCACAGCTATTTTTCCAGCAAAGCCAGTTTTCAGGCTACATTTTTTCTCTCATTTCTCCCTTATTCATCCTTTTCCAATTCGTGCCATTAAATAAAACCCAGTGAAGATGCAGAGCCTCGGGGCTGAGCTGGAATGTTGTTTGTGGAGATGCTTGGCTCTGGCACAGCTATCAGGTTGGCCCTTTTTCTGCCTCAAACAGCATCCAAACCAAACTTCTGTGTATGGCACAGTAATAATATAATAATATTATTATAATAATAATAATAATCCCAGATCTCATCCTCTGTGATCCACCTTGGCCTGTCTCTGCATCCTCATCCCACTGGACATCCAGAAGGATGAGCTAAAACTTTCTATGAAATGCTGCACGTTTCCCAAAATTTTTGAAGCCTTTAAACCATCATTTGTTAGGAAGAGCTGCTCTTTCCCCACAGATCTCAATTACCTTCAGCTTCCGAGCCCTGTGCATGCACATGAGCGTGTTGCTGACTTCCTTTTTTTCTTGGAAAACAATGGGATCTCTGGAAATCTACGTTTACTTTTCAAAGTGATGATCATGTTACACCTTGTTTGATATGAGGGGGGGTAAAAGAAATCAAGGTTCATAGGGGTTTTTTTAATAACTTAATATTTGTAATGCATTCTACAGATATGCATGGATTTTATTTGAATGCTGGCAGCGTGTCAAGTCGGATGTTCCCAGTAATCCTTTCTGGTCCAACACCTTAAAACCTGGCTTGGGTCTGAGCTTCCAGGAAAGCTCCAGGAGCACCAGGTTGGCTGTGCCTCCCTTTTTCTTGCAAAATTCCTTTCACGCCATCATTCCTTCTGGCATATCTTGCTATGAAACTGGTTTATGCCTGAGGTGGAGTAGGACATGTGTGTGTGGGTTCCTTCACTTTGTATCCCAGTCTTTTCTAAGCGGGCACCCTGTCTGTCCGTCCGTCCCAGCTGCATGCAGAGTTGGTGGTTGTCATGCCAGGCCTCGTGAAATGTTTGATACCAATGTTTTGCTACCATGTGAAGGCTGCAGAAACCGTCCTTACCTGCATCCTGAAAGACTTTTGTATTTCAGTATTACCTATCCGTGTACTTTTTGTCGGATTTGTTAATATTTATAACGAGAACCGAAAATAAAAAGGTTAAAAAAAAAAAAAAAAGCTGATGCTGGTGGTGCAGCTTTTGAATTTGGGGTCTGGCAAGGATTTGGGGAGCGGGAGATGGTTTTAAACTAGAGCTTTGGGGGCTGCTTGGCCCAATGTAGTATATATACACTACGTGTGTAAATGTATATATAAAAATAAATAAATTAATTAATAAATAAATACAGAGAGAGAAAGAAAATACATGTATGGCCCAATGTAGTATATATAGTACACGTATATTTTTATATATTTGTGTATATATATGAATATAGTAGCCTGCAGCCCAGCAATTCCCCCAGAGCACAGGGAATGACATCCCAAGTGCCAGAGCTGGGCAGGGGTCACTCTTACAGGAAAAGACAGCTGGAAAGCACAAGGAAAAAAATATTTACTCAATTAAATGATGCTCTGTTCAGTCATCAGATTTTTGTTTAAGTCAGTCTTTATCCCCTCAGGAATAAAGAGCTGATTATAAACGGGGGGGGGCAGGGGCACAGACCCTGCAGATTAAAATAAGGCTTAAGGCATTTGAATGCAAAGCTGCTCTGGGGCACGTCAGACCCTCCTGCTCTATAAAGAGGCTTTGCTTTTTGGGGAGGATCACCTGCAGCAGGTGGAGCCCCAGAAGCCCCATGTACTCCCCTGACAGCTCGCAGGAGCCCCCAAATAACGGGACCCCGGGGCCCTTCGATGGCCCCCAGTGGCCCCACCAGGCCCCACGGGCCGTGTACCTGTCGGTGGCCGTGCTGATGGGCCTCGTCGTGGTCTCTGCCTCGGTGGTGAACGGCTTGGTCATCGTGGTTTCCATCAGGTACAAGAAGCTCCGGTCGCCCCTGAACTACATCCTGGTGAACTTGGCCGTGGCCGACCTGCTGGTGACGCTCTGCGGCAGCTCCGTCAGCCTCTCCAACAACATCAGCGGCTTCTTCGTGTTTGGCAAGCGCCTGTGCGAGCTGGAGGGCTTCATGGTCTCCCTCACAGGTAAGGGCACGGGCCTGGAGACCTGCCTTGGTCTCTGGCTGGTGCTTTTGTCTTTAGCAAAATGGCTTTGGGAGTGTTTCACCAGCTTTGTCATCTCCTAAAGTCAGCGTTTTCATGTGGTAAAACTCGTGTCCTTCAGCTATTCTTCAGGACAGGGAAGGGTCAGGTAGGTGGTTGGCTGTGCCAGGTCACCATAGGATCTGTCTTGGTCCTCACAGAGGGGGAAATGTCACTTGGGCACATGAGGAATCTTTGCTTGGTGTGCTTTTTGTGGGTGCTGGTGGCTGTGTCAGCACACCTGTGGGTGAGGGTGCACCAGGGACTGCACAAAACCATTTGTCAAGGGCACTCCTGTGGCGAAACTGTGATTGCAACCACAAGGCATCACAGACACCCACTGCCAACTTCATCTTTAAGGGCCAAATACCCTCACAACTCTCCCTGCTGTAAGAAAAACATCCAAATACTTGTTAAAACCATGTTTACTTGGACAGCTTTAGATCGTCATCTACCACATGCTGGCATGGGCAGCAGAGCCTGTCCCTAAGACACAACCCCTCCTTCTCCCCCCAGGCATCGTGGGGCTGTGGTCCCTGGCCATCCTGGCCCTCGAGAGGTATGTTGTGGTCTGCAGACCCCTGGGAGACTTTCGGTTCAAGCACCGACACGCCGTGAGTGGCTGTGCCTTCACCTGGAGCTGGTCACTGCTCTGGACAACCCCACCACTCATGGGCTGGAGCAGCTACATGCCTGAAGGTAGGGGAGGGGTGCGTCAGACTCCACTGGGTCATCTTGCATATGCTTTTGAAGCACAGAATAGCTGGAGAGTGTCTGTGCTGGAATTTAAAGTGTTGGTATCTCCTGCTGCTCAATAATCCTCCCTGGGAGGTTGTTCTTTGGAAGTTGCCTGCTACAGGACCTGCTCTGGCTGCTGGAGCACTCAGAGCAGCAGCCAGCATGCAGCCAGCCAAAACCTGCTTCTGTAGGGGCTGATCTCCAAGAAAAGTGAGAGGTGCTTGGGTGGCATTGCTAAGCAGGGTCAGTGCTGGCTGTTTTGGTACTGAGCCCTGATCCAAGCCTGTCCTTGGTTCAACCTTGTTTCCAAACTTTGTTCCAGGCCTGAGAACCTCCTGTGGGCCCAACTGGTACACGGGCGGCAGCAACAACAACAGCTACATCCTGGCCTTGTTTGTCACCTGCTTTGTGATGCCCCTCGGCCTGATCCTCTTCTCCTACGCCAACCTGCTGATGACCCTGCGAGCGGTAAGCACGGCGGGCACAGGTGAGCTCACGGCTTTCTGCTCACAAAGCAGGTTTTTGTGACGCTCAGTGGAGCTGACACCTCCTGGCACTGACATCGGGGCACCCAAGGGATGGGAATGCTGCTGCAAGTTGCTAACAGGGCACCTCTCTCCCTTCCAAACCCCCCGCAGGCTGCGGCGCAGCAGCAGGAGTCGGACACGACGCAGCAAGCGGAGCGGGAGGTGACCCGGATGGTGGTGGCGATGGTGATGGCCTTTCTCATCTGCTGGCTGCCCTACAGCACCTTTGCACTGGTGGTGGCCACCCACAAAGACATCACCATCCAGCCAGCTCTGGCATCTCTGCCCTCCTACTTCTCCAAGACCGCCACAGTTTACAATCCAATCATTTACGTCTTCATGAACAAACAGGTGAGAAAGAGAGAGAGGAATCAGCCAACAAACCACAGCTTCACTGGGGCTTCTGGAGAACAACTAAATGGGCTCATAAAACATGGAGGAACCTTGTATCCTATCTGGGAGCATAGTCACAGACTTGATCCTGGATAAGCAGGGAATAAATGGAAAGGGAGGGAGCAGCCTGCGAGCCCAAACAAGAGCTCATTTTCCTCTTCCATGATTTTATGGGGTCAGGCAACTTAATGTTAGATCACAAACGGCTCATTGAAGACACAGAACAAACAGAATGAAACTTTTATTGTCAATAAACTGCAAAGAGTGGGGCTGGGAATAGAGATCTCACCCAAAATATAACCAACGTCCCACCCCTCAGAGGTGACACCAGAATTGTGCTATCACATGTAACCCACCCCTCCCCTGCCCAGTTTCAGAGCTGCCTGCTGCAAATGGTGTGCTGTGGTTACCACCCCCGGGGGACTGGGAAAACCTCTCCTGCTGCCCCCCGTCCCCGCCCAGGCGTCGCTGCAGAGGGGCTGCAGAATAAGGTGATGCCGTCTCACCCCGTCTGAGCGCTGCCAGATCCTGCCTGCACCAGCACCAGCGCCAGCTCCAGGCTCTGCCTGTCCCACCCAGCCTGGTACAGCACGGGCACAGAGCAGGCTCAGTGCTGGACGTGAGGGGGGGCTCTCAGAGGCTGAAGTCCCCAGCAGTCCACAGGGTTCTCCAAAGAAAGCCATGAGTGTCTTCTTGAGGGAGAGGAGCCACCCATCGTGGGATAAACCGCAGACTTTTATTTCACTCTCCTAAGGACACCCCCTCCCTTCCAGCCCCTCACCTCGGGCAATTGTGAGCCTTTCAAGAACAACAACAACAACAAAAAAACCCAAAATAAAATAAAGAGCAGTATTTTTTCCTCGATGTAAAACACCCCAAGTTGCTGTTTGGCCCAGCCGGTCTGGCTGTGATGCCACATCCCCAGGGGTCTGAGGGCAGAGCTGCACATTCCTCACCCTCAGACAGAACAAGTGCTGTTTGCGCTGCCCGAGCTTGCTGTGAAGTTCAAGGTCATGCTGGAAATCTGGCATAAATCCAGCAGGCACGTTTAAGTGCAGACTGTGTTAATAAACATTAATGAACACTAACCAGTTCAGAGGCATCTGTTTTACCGGCTGGTAAGAGGGTTCGACAGAAAACACATCCCCTCCTGGCACGTCTCTTGTGGCAAGTGCCACATACACCATCATAACAGAGACCAAGAAAAAAACCCAGTTCAGAATCACAAAAGTACTTTTTTTTAATATATTTAAGGCAATAAGGAAAGGTCTTAAATCCACTGATTTCCCAGCAAGGGTGAAAACAGGGTTGTAACAGGGCCCCGAGGTCAAGGCACAACAGAAGCACTGCTGCCCATTAACAGCAAACAAAAGATGCCAAAGGCTGCAAGAGTGAAATAAAAGCCAAAACCACCTCCGTGGGGCTCTGCAGCTTTACACCTGATATTGAATGTGTTTATCTAGACAATCACACTTCTGGTTTGCCAGGCTGATTCTGTGATTTAGGAGCCCAGGGAAAAAGCTTCTAAAGACAATTCTGCAGATAGCAAGTCTCTGAATCTCATTTTTACCCAATTACTCTATTTTTTAAAAAAAACCTGTCTGCCTTCAGAGATAATTGTCTTTCAAATTTTTGCTCCTGAACACTTGAATTGCTTTCAAAATGAGATGATCCACAGTCACAGGATTCCAAGGCTCTCCCCTCCGCGGTTCTATAATCGAGCACAGGGATGAGCCCCAAACACGTTCTCTCCTCCTCCCACCCTCTCCCACAGCTTCTGCCGATGCAGCAAAGCCGTGAAGGAGTTAGAGGGAAGCAACGCTCCAAGTTGTTCATCACCTCACTAAATTGCCTCACTAACATGCAGCCCACAGCCAGACCAGCAATTTGCACTGCCACGGAGGATGAGGATGAGTTGTGGGAGACTGAGGGGTTTTTTTTTCCTCCAGCTGAGATTCTCTGCTCCAAACCAAGAACAGAACAAAAAAATCCCCAAACCAGATTGGTATGAAGGAAATAAGCTGGACGGGGTTTGCAGCAACCTGGTCTAGTGGAAGGTGTCCCTGCCCATGGCAGGGGGTTGGGACTAAATGATCTTTATGGTCCCTTTCAACCCAAACCATTCCATGACTCTCTGACCTGCCAGTGCAGGGGGACAGGACATTCATCCTCATCCCCACCTCTGTGTCTCAACCTCCCTCCCTCCACTTTGCTTTCCTACGGGAAGAACAGCTCAGCTCGCATGTGAGCGGCTCAGAGAGGAATTAGAACAGCTCAATATCACTGTTTTAATTTAATTAATTGGCCTTTCATTCTCTGGGAAGCTGAAAAGCAGCATTAGATGGGCCCCTCTGATCTTCTCTGCTGTCTTGCACTGGTCCTTGTTTAATTGTTTCTGTTAATTACAGCTTTTGTGCCCATGCTTTTTGTGATCTGGATGATTTACAGTCATGCTAAACTTAAATGTGGAAAGTACAAGTGGCCGAAAAACTGAAATCTGTGTTGTGTTCTGGCCTCGATAAGGAGAGCAGACAGGCTATGGGGCTACTTGAAAGGCTCCCTACCAACAGAAATAAAAATTCTCCACATTAAGATTAAAAAAAGATAGGGAAATGGTTCACAGCCCGCTCACCATTTGGTCCGACAGATAAAATAGAACAAGAAATCCGAGGAGCTGAGGAGATTTCACATGTTGCAGACCAAAGTGATACATAATTATGCGCACGCAAAAACTCACGTGTGCCCCCCTCCACCACCCTGCTGCAGCCCTACGGGCTTTAATTACTTCTTATTTAATTGAGCAAGTCTGAAACACAACAAAACGTTGCCAAAGCGAGAGGGAATGACCCTCAGCTATGAGTCACAAGCCACCAAGGACAGAATCACACAATAAATTTGCAGTTTCACTTCTGCATGCCAGTCGTTTCCCTCTGTTCCTCCAGTGTAACACAAGGCTCTGCTCGGCCCCAGGGCCATGTGGAGCAGGATCTTGTTACAGCAGCTTCTATCAGGAATATAAAGTTCTTCTGCCTGCAGCACACAGAGCTCCCAAACAGAGAAACCAGTTGGTATGAGCCCGGGTTAGAAAATATTCAACATGTGCTTAATATTTTTCTATTTCTATTTATATTTAAATTTCGTATTAGTATTTATATTTTGCTGTTTATATTAAAATTATATTTAAATATTTCTATATTTAGCTTTAAACCTTTGCTTCATATTTATATGTAAATATTTCTATATTTAGCTTTAAATCTTTGCTTCATCTTTATATTTAAATATGTCTATATTTAGCTTTAAACCTTTGCTTAATACTCTTCTACTTAGATTTTAATTTCAGATTTGTGTTTATATTTCATATTATACTTACATTAAAATTTATATTTAAATGTTTTATGTATTTATATTTAAACCTTTGCTTAGCATTTTTGATGTGATGCACAGGGGTGAGCCCCATTCCCAGGCACTGGCCCTGCTGTTATCTGGAGGTGCAGAATTCCAATCCCAGCCTCCTTGCTGCTGGCACTTCTGGTCCAGCTCTGTCACTACCACAACATGATAAATGGATGAAAGATTTCTATTTTCTCTTGATCTTTTCTGAAGAAAGCCCCCCCCCACCTCTGCCAGTCTGCAGCACCTTCCCTGGAGCAGCTTCATCAGTACCTGGTTGTGTCATGGTCTGATGATGGGAAACATCACTAAAAACAAGTAAAAAACCCAAGAAAACAGACCCAAAAAAGATCCTCTAAACCAAAAAAAAAAAGAACCACATGACAGCACAGTAACTTGGAAACTTTTATTAGTGTTGTTAAACCAAATTAACAAACAGTTACAGATGGGGAGCATTTCTTTACAAAAACAGGAGCAAAGAGGCAAACGTGGCACACCCAGATGTATAAAACCAGCTAAAATCCCTGTGTGTGTTAGACAGGGAACAGGACAGTCCTCCCTCCTGCATGTGAACAGAATTTATCACATGTGAAGTCATATTTATCAAATATGAAGTTGCTGTGCCCATCAATATCTTAATCCAAAGCTCAATTATGTCCATTTTTTTTTATCCATCCCACCAAAAACGTGGTTGAATTAAACCAACAGGTATCTTCATGACACTACCCACATTTTCTCATATTCTTGTCTAATGCTGGCAGGGAACATATTGCTGCACTTGCAATCTCTGGAGAACACTGCTTTTTTCCTCATTAGCTTTTTGCACAGCAATTAATCCCCTTAATCAGTCAAATCAGTTCAACACTAGATCACAAAAGCACTAAGTAAAGAGAAAACAAGAAATTACCTTGTTAAATTTAATGAGCAAGGAAAAACACACACTACATGGGCTGTAACAGTGCTCCACACTCCAGCATGGAAAAATTCCAGTGCCTGAGCAGCACCAGCAGCCCACAGGATTCCAATCATTTTGTTTGCAACATCAAAAACTGCATAATGCAACTAAATTATTGTGCTTATGAAAATGGGCACGTGCAGGAGAAAAAAACACCACGTAGCAGGTTCACAAGGATGTGATACTGAGAAAACACTTCAGTTCTGCAATATTGGTACTGCTTGTGATATTGATATTGATACTGCAGTGATGGCATAAAACCAGTACAAACAGTGTTATAACATAGAACATCAGATTTTCTTCTGTACTTGCTGCTGCAGTTAAAAGAAGTCTGAGCTTTACAACTGTTTATGTGGCAAAAAACCCCCACAATTCAGAGGCTGTACAAACAGCAGTAAGTAGATGATAGGTTACAACTTATTCATTATCCATTTTAATCACAGAGAGAGCTCTCATCCAAAACAATTATCCTGTAGGGGGAAAAAACAAGAAGAAAAAAAAAGGTTACACAGTTGTTTTTTTTTTTTCTTATATCAAACTACAGGTTGAAGGGAATGGTGCCTCTCTCACCTGGAAAACAGGAATGTATCTCATGCAGCCAGAGAACAGACAAATTCCTATCAAAAACCCACTTTAACTCACAGTGAGTCTCACCTGAAGGGTGAAGCTGAAGACAGCTGCTGCTGCTGCAAGTGGGATGTCTGATCTTTGGGGTGTTTGTCTAAAAAAACATGTAAATTGAGCTCAGAACCAAGAGGAGAACATGCACAACCACAACAGTTCAGAGACAAGTCAGCACACAGCAGCACACCAATTAAGTGCTACAGATCTCTCTGCTTTGCCCATGAAGTCACATTTAGTAACCCGAGCCCAACCCCAGCTCTGCTGCTCCTGAGGCATCACACAGGGCCCTCCCAGGGACCAGAAATCAATCCTGCTTTCCAAACCTGAAGCCCAATCCCTGCCAGCCCAGGTCTAGGGGCCTGACAGAAAACAGGGGCGTATCTGCTAATGCTGTGCAAACAATGAGCACAGTGATGTTACCCTTGGATGCTACTTCTACATTTAAAAAAACTACCAGAGACATTTCCAAAAGTAACCAGTGATTTGGGACAAACTCTGGGTGCATCCAGCAGCTTTACAGACAAAGAGCACCTGCTGAAGTCCCTGCACAGCTTTCTGGCGCTCTGCCTCCAGCCCCAGCTCTTCTTTCCTCTACTCCATTCTTCCTTCCAGCATCTTCTGGATCCTGCAGGCTTGCAGCCCTTGAATGACAGAGTTTTGTGCATGATCCTAATTTTTCCTCACTTTTTTTTTTTTTTTTTGTTTCAGACAGGATGCAACAGAGCACTAAACCAGAAGCCTCTGGATATACCACATGCCTCTTTGTTTTTATCCTGATCCATAATGTGCATTTGCCCTCCCCAACCCCCAAACAAATTGGTTTTCCCATCCAAAACTGCAGATGTGCTTTAGCTTTACATCCACACACAGACTCCAATGATTCTTTATACAACAGCATGAAGTAAATGTACTCTGACTACAGGTGTAGATGGGCTTTGGATCAACATGGAAGCACAGGAATTGCTCTGCCCTGTTGGCAGGATCCTCCTGGTTACTGTGACATTTGCCTTCTGTGTGCAATTAAAAAAAAAAAAATTCCTGATGCCAAACACAAGAATGTCTCATGTTCCTCAGTGAGACAGATGTGAGGAATGACTTCTGACCACTCACTCACTGGTATTTACTGGAGTTGTTCAGAGTTACTGAGCAACTCTTTAGTTATAAGAGGACAAAAGTTATTAAGGCTATGAATCTTTTCTTTAAAATGATGTATATATAACTTCTGCCACTTTCTTCATTTCCTAATATACTGACATGAAAACATAACCATTTTCCCAAACTCTTCTTTGCAAAGAGTTGTCGTGATGCTGTTCTCTTAATGTACATTTTCTCCATCTCAAAAAAAAATCCCCCATTCTGTCAAATTATCTCTGATTTCTGTGAACACTAAGCACTGCCTTCCAAACCAATTGAAGTATTTGCTTTCCACCTACGGGAAATTATATTAACAAAACATTCTTTTCCCTCTCAGTTTAGCACAAAGAGTTCACATTGATGTCTCCAGGGAAGTTCCCTGACACGTTTCTGTCTAAGGACTGACAACCCATCTTCTGAAAAGTCCTGCATAGATCCATACCCACAACACAAAATAAATTTGTGAACACAATACAAATTATCTGCTAACCCAAGAGTGTGTCCCCGAGGTTGTTCTTGGACCTCCTCATCTCCAGGAACTGCATGGAGCATTCTTTCTAAAATATCATCAAGAGTAGAGTGAGCCCTGTTAAATAAAAGATTTAAAAAATTATGGTGATAAGTAAAATACTACAGATTTCAAAATAAATCAGTCATAATTACCAGGGTATTTGAAGTTCGCTTCTGTAAGCATTGAATCTTGTTAAAATATGCTGAAACCATAATTCTAAATATTTGTAACTCAAATACAAACATGTTTTATCGTCCTTTTTTCATACCTTTCTGTGTCCTCTGCTAGAGTGAATGACTCCTTAGTCCATGAACTCTGATTTTGCTTCTCCTTTCTCTCAGATTCTTCTTCTGACTCTCTGCTTTCCATTCTAATTCGATTGGGAACTACTCACATAAAGATTTTAATATCAAAGGCATGTAGGGAGATAACAAAAGAATTAAAATGTGGGTTTATTTATTGCACTTGGGTAAGCTTCCAGTTGTCCACTTCTCAATTACTCTTCCCTCAGTCTCCTGATTTTCCACCAGTTAAGCAAATTCACATTATCCACAGCCAAAGGTGGCCAGCAGCAAGGCCTAGAATAAATATTTCACTCTAACACGTTTTCAGATTCACAGGACTGAACATTTTCCTTCATACTAAAATGAAAAATGCATGGGGAAAATCAATCTTTAATCTCTCCCCCTTACAATCCCAGATATGGGAGAGAAATCAAAGGAAAACCTGTGGATGTTTGCTTTGTTACCCTACTTAGCAAAACCCAGAGATATCCCCCCCCAGACTTATCGGCGAGTTCTGTTCCCTCCAGCCTGGGAATAAATTCAGCACCTTCTGCTGTGCTATGATAAGCAGGAAGCAGGAGGCTGTCACAAAAAATGGAGTCTGAAATAGCTGTGCTTTATGCAAATACAACAAAACCCACAGTGAGTGAACAACTGCTGCAGTCCTCACCACCTAAAAACAAGATACTCCCCTGAATAAAGCCAAGGGAGCTTCTGTCCTTCAGGAAAAGATCTAACAGAGCTGGAGGATAACACAAACAAGTGCCAGCATCATTCTCAAGTGACTCTGCTATTTAGCTTTTTACAGACTTAACTCATGTTCTGCCTTTTTTTTTTTTCCCTTTTTGTCTTTTTTTTTTTTTTTCTTTTTCACTGCTGTTCACTTTGTGACTCACTGGGGGAAGAAAAGGCACAGCCTATAAACATTTTGGTTTCCTGCTCCTCTGACAGGACGTGTAAAAATGATTCCCACTTAGTACCATTTGCAGTTGCAGAAGCACAAAGATTCACCACTTTGGTGTCTTTGCAACAGAACAGGAAACACAATATTCATGGGGAAGCTATTTTCTTACACTGTGAGATCAGAGGAATTATTTCATGATGGAGAATTAGGAACATTAGCAGCTAATGCGTTCACTGGCCACTTTTTTGACTGAATCACCCTCCCAGAATGGAAACTTCAGCTCTGTTTGACATCACCTGCCCACCACCTTCACTTTTGTGGGTTTTGGCACCTGTGTTGGAACTACAGTGGCATAATAAAAGTAGGAAATTAATTCCCACAGTTAGACCTGCAAACCTCCCACACCAGATCCCCGTGGACTTCAGAGGGAACACACCAGGAAAGGCAGCAAACACTGGTGGAGGGGGTAGTAAGCTAAAAATTGCAGTGTATTGTACAGCTGAACATACAGTGACAAGTATTCAGAGTCATTTTACAGCAATGCAAAGGGAATTTTCTATTTTTAATCCCTACATTAGGACTATTATCAACTAACCATTCATTTGCACTCCACAGTTCTGCAGTCCCACCTCTTTCAGGTCTGGAGTGATGGAATCTTGCTGCTTTAAGAGTTCTGTTAAAAACAGCACATTCCTTATTGATCTGGGTGCTCTAACTTGGCTCTATCCACTCCAAAGTACCATATGATTTATCCATCCAGCCCCACACAAAAACCCTTACAGGATCTACAATTAGTTCATACATTAATCCTAAAAATTTCCCCTGACCATCATTTATTCACTTGATGCCAATCTCCACATCATTTTGGTGAACTGGGAAATAAGATCAGGATGTGCCTGGGTGTCTCATTCCCAAAGCAGCTATGGATATTTAATTATGCCAGTGTCTGGTGTTAATTTAGGCAGAGTTTATCACTGAACAAGCAAAGCAAACTCTTCTCTAACACCCTCCCAGCGAAAACAAGGCAGAGTTTTCACACCTTCTGGCTGAAGATGCATGTGAATACAAAAAGAAATGTAAATCACTGAGATTAAGCTCCTGCACAAGGACCTGAAGGGTGCAGCTGCCTCCTAATGGAGAACACACATTGCTCCAGGACAACTTTGAAAAATTCAGTGTACACAAAATTCATCTCCACATTAAACTACATCTGCACTGGCTGTGCTGGCTGCTCTCAGCAGCAACCAACCCACCAAGTGAAAAGCAGAAGCTTCAAGGACTGCCAGTTGTTTTAAGCTGTTGATGCCCAACTTCCTAAGCATTGACTGCAACTCATCTGGAAGCTCTCGTGTATTTTGGGTAGTGAATGGTTTGGGAGAAATCCTGATTGAACACAGCTGGGAAGCCTCACACCGTTCTGGGTGAAGTGCCTCTTACCAATCTCATCCAGCAGCTCTTGGACTGGTGGAGGCAGCTCATCAATGGAGGGTTGAGATGCCTCAGAGAGTGCTGAGATGGAGGGGGAAAAAAATCTAGTTAATTAGCAGTGATTAATCCTTAATAAGTGTGACATGGGCTTACATTTTGATAGCATCTTGCTTACATACTTCATTTAACGCCCTGCACAAGCCTGGCTCATTCACATTTTATCAAATATCCTGAAATAATTTCATAATGGAAAAACCATTGAGAGCCAGACTTGCATGTTCAGTTCTCAATCCTGTGTCAGAAATCTGAGGCCAGTAATATTTACACTTCAAACACAGGTTGATTAGAGGTCAGAGTTCTTAGTCTGCAGGTGCAAACACAAAATCCATAACCTAATTAGCACTAGCAGTACACAGTTATTTATCTGTGTACAAAAGCTATTTATCCCTATAAAATGAGATGCCCAGGAGGAAAAAAGAAAGAAAAAGGGTGTGGGGGGGGAAAGAAATAAAGAAATAAACTGCAAAAATTTCTTTCAAATCTGATGGCCAGGAGGAAAAAAAAAAAAAGAAGGAAAAAAAAGGGAGAAAAAAGAAACAAACTGCAAAATTTCCTTTCCAGTGTGTTTCTTTGCTTATTGATCAATTTATTTGAGTTGGGATAAAAGACTTACCAGGTGCCTGCCTGGTGTTCCTCAAGGATGGAACAACTGGTGGCAACCCATCCTGTGTAAGACCAAACAGAATGAAACACAAGAAGGTAAATTGGTAAACTGCTGATTTTCAATCCTCCCCTTCAACATATTAAACCCAAAATGAGGTAAAGCCTTCAGTTAAAGCCTTGGCTGAACATTAAATTTTAAAATAAGGTTTTCAATCAGTTCAGAATATCAAGAGTAAGGTAAGACATCCAGGTTAGCCAGATGTGCCAAAAATTTTGGTTAGGCTGCTGTACACTCATCTTTTAACTGGTCATACATGATCTTTATCCATTTCAACACTCTGAATGGACAACTGGATGGGAATTCTCTGAAAGGACAGTTCAGCACCTCTTCAGTGCTGGAATCTTTAATTATTAAAGCCAGACACACCTATTCACCAGAGAGCCCCCCCAAAAAAATCAAGGATTTGTAATCACCATAGGCAAGTCCTCAAAATGGAAACAGGGGCTTCATGCTCTTAATTCTAGAATAAGATTTTAGGCAAGGAAGTGACACAATGAGGGATCTCTGCAGAGCCAGGCAGGGCAGCTCTGCACTGGGAATGGGTTTAATGAATTCCAACCCTGCCACAGGAGCAGAACACCCAGACCCAACCTGTGTCAGGTCAGTCAGGCAATGAACAGACACTGCTGCTCTGGCTGAACAAACTCCAATTTAATCTTTAAATGACAAACCCCATCAGTGAATAATAATAAGAAAAGTGTAAAGGCAAGTATTTCATATCAAACTGTCAGGGAAGGCAGTTAAGATAATGCTGTGGCTCAAGAACACCTTCAGTTCCAAACAGATTACTGGAAATCACTCCAGTGACCTTGGAAACTGTCAGCTCCAAACTGATTTTCTGATACAACAGAGCCGATGACATTATGTCAAAAAGGACATTATGTCCAAAAAGGACAAACTTAACCCCCTCAGACAAGGGCTAATTTGCTTTCTCTCACCAAGTTCTGAGGGCTCTTCACTTCCACATGAAGACTTTCATGCTCATGTGTTTATTTTCATTCAAGTTTATTCCCACCTTCCATGTCCAAGCCTGTGGTTCCCAAATCCCTGGTGAATGCAGGGGGGTTCAGGCTGTTGCCCCACCCAGAAGAACAACTGATGAACTCCCTCCCTGCCCAACCAAAACTCACCTTTTCAACCCAACCACTCTGCAGGTATTTACCACCCTGGTGTTCCAAGATTACCAGATCCAAAAAGGCTGGGAAATGGCAATTCTTTACAGCCAGGGAAGGGCCACTTTGACAGTGGTCAACATTTACATACAATTAGGTGCAAGAGGAAGCCAGCTCTTTGTACCATCAGTGGCAACACTGCTTTGAATTCAATTCATTTCTGCCATTATATCAACAGATCCAGGATTCCAAAATCCTCACAAAGACCTCCAAGTATTTCTGCACTTCTCTTCTGGCATTTATTTGTAGGAAAAGTATTTTTAAAAATGTTTTGAAGCATGGTTGGCATAAACTAGAATTTCTGACTTACAGGCTCTTTCAGTTCAAACTGGCAAACTCTTGAAGCAGCCCCTGGAATTTCCATGCTCCTTTCCCCTTCATAGGCTGTAGTGAATGTCTTGAACATTGTGGAGGAGGCCTCTTGAGAACCACACAGGGAAAAATCTGATGCTAATTCATGGCAGTGTTTGTATTTTTCAAAGGCTAATGGAACTTTTTCTTCTAGAATTAAAAAAAAAAAAAAAAAAGCAAAGCTGGAAAATTATTTTTGGACTTTTTTTCATCTTTATTAATTTCAAGAGAAGCAGAAAAAAAGTCAAAAGAGAACAGGACCTGCACAAGAAACTCTAAAAAAACAGTGTCCATAAATGACCTCTAAACAGAAGACCAACTGAAGTTCCACCTCAGACCTTACTTATGCAAAACTCTGCCAACTGAGGAATTCCAACTCCTGTATTACACCAAATTAATGAAGTAGAAAGCAAATGATAAATCACTTGAACACCTGAGTTCACCAAACACTGAGATCACTTTATCAACACTCTAAACACCCTGAGTGCTTATTTACATTGTCTTTAAAATGCTAAAATCCACTTCAATTTTAAATATCTAAAAAAAAGCCTGATTTATGAAGGCTGCCATTACCTACTAAGCAACCATCTTTCAGAGACCTTTCAGACAGTGCTTTTTTCAGCTGCAAATTCTCCTTTAGTCCCGTGTCAGAGATGCCCTTTGTCAGTGAGATTTCAAACAACATTTCTTGTGGTTACTCATTCCCAGCCTGACATTCCTGCACTGGCACGGTGTAAATGGAGCCTCCAGGACTCACCCTGATGGAAAGGTGAAGTAATTCCCTGGGAATCCTCCCCTCCCTGCATTACCTGAGCCGAGGGGGGTGCTGACACTGGTCGGTGCATGACACAGTCTGGGCGTTTTACACTCCACATCCCTCTGGAAGTTCTCCTGCTCACAGGGGATACTGGACAAATCCTGAATATCTGCCACTGATCTGAATTATTGAAAGATGTTCTGACAGTTAGAATGGCCGCTTCCTGCATCTGTGAATCACCAGCTTCTGCTATTTTCAGGCTCTTTAAATTTTAATTTCGGTCGGTCTTATCTAGTTCACCAGAGGGAAGAGAGATATTCCCTTCGAAAACTTCCCAGAGAATTCTTGGAAGGCTCAAGATCACCATCTTCAATAATGTTGCACAGACAGAAAAGGTTAATTATTTGCTCTCCCTTCCTTTACAGGATTTCTTAAATAACCCTCCTATAAAAGCAAGCTCAGGAAACAGCCTCCAGAAAGGGCAAGAACTTCAAAAGGGAACCACAAAGTAAAAAACTCTCCAAAGCCCAGGGAAAACCTCAAGGGTTAACAAAAATTAACAGTCCATTAAATAAGACTAACTGTAGGTTTAAGGAGCCTTTAAAAGAATTACTCAGATAAACTGAAACTGCTGAAGATGCACAAGGCAGTGATACACACCCAGGTTACAAAAAAATGTAATCCCAGGACTGGGAATTATATTAAGCAGACCAACATTTTGTGCAGAAACACCCTGGATTACATCGTCCTCAGAAGGCCATGAAAGGACAGATCTACTGGTACCAAATCAGGAATTTCATGCAAATCTCCATTATCTGTAAAAATAAACTCACTTTATTAGTTGAGTCACAAACACATCCTGCAAAATTTTTTTCCTGAAAATCGTGGGACTATTTTTGTGATGAAATTTATTTGGCTCCACGGTAACAATTTGCTCTTTAAAGTGATTTTATTTCCTCTGTGCCATATGGAGAGAAGAAACGAGGAATCCTAACACTTGAATGTGAAGATTAACACCCAGTTAATTACTTATGAATATGAAAATATTTCAAACTAAGGACAACTGTCTGTGATAGCTCTTTTATACCAATCTCACAACTTATCACGAGAAAATACTCTTTCAGTACTCTGGAGAGTTTTCTTTCTCTCAGCTTTGGTTTGTCTCATCTCCCTGTTTTGCACCAACACAGAACTTTCACAGTGATAATGATCTGCTTGCTGAAATTTTGGTATAATATGGTCTTACACATCTTTTTCTTGGCATCCTTCCTGTGGCTCCCACAGCATCGCTTCTCGTGCTGCATCAACACTGAAATGAGGGAAGAAAGGTCTTATTCACTCTCTGAAAGTTATGAAAATGGAAGCATTTAGTCTCTTCTCTCAAAAAAAATTTAAAGAACTGCCTTCTCTCTGAGGCTCACAGAAACTTTTTGCTTAAAACCTTAGAAATATGGAGAATGGTAGGAGACAAATATCATTTTAAACAGATGATGGATTTGTATTCAGTGAGGAGGAAATTTCTAATTGACACACATGGCTTCAAAGCAAAACTGAAAGTTAAATAAAAATCCATGAATACAAATCATCAGGTTGGTTTTATCATCCTCTGATCTGTTTTGTAAGGTATTCTCTCAAACTGTGACAAGGCCATTCAAGGTCAGAGAGGATTAGTCAGATGGTCGGGGAGGAACAGCCCTCTCTGCCCTGCTGGCAAAAGCTCAGTTCCAAAGTGAAGGGAGCAACCAAAACTTTTACCTTAAAGCCAAGTCATTCCCACACTTTCTGCCTGCCTTTGAGACAGGTAACTCAGTTTTTCAAGTGAAGAGGAGACAGAGAGAAAAGCTCTCACTCCCACACCGAGAGTGTGAGCAGCTCCAGCTCTCCAGTAACACAAGGAAAGCTGAGCTACAGGGAGCACTGGAGCTTTTAAAAAGCCTCAAAGCCACTGCTCAAAGACTTTCACTTAAAAAATCCTTGCCCTGAACATCCCCCCTTGCAGCACACGAGGTGACTCTGGCCAACCTCTCTGCGTGACAGTAAAACATAACATTTACAAAACGCTGGGCATAAAAACCTCCTGTTTGACAGATGAGCCTGCAAGTCTCCAGGCACGGGCTGATGTTACCTGCAGGCAAGATCCAGTGAGCAAACTTCCATCAGACTGCTCCCACAGGAGCAGGGAGGGGAAAAGGCACGATCTTCATGCCACTTGAGCTCCGAAACCAAAGCACAACAAAATTCAAACAGATGACTGAAGCCTTAATTTGAATTAGCTTTGCTCTGTTAAAAGGAATTGTGATATGAACATGACTTTATTTTTCCTATTTTAGCTCCCTCATTAAGCAGAAAAACCCACCAAACACTGTAAAAGACAAAACCCCTTGAGACTTGTGAAGTCCTTTTCTTGGCAAGGAACTGAGATATGTAGATAATCATTAAAAACCACCACTGGCATCTTATTTGAATATTAGATATATAAGCAGAATTAATGAAGAGAGCACACTTTATCATCCAATTTATGCTTGAAGGAACAATGAAAATGAGTCTCTCTACCTGACTACGGGCATTTGGTTCAGTCGACTCACTCCCAGCTTGTTACTGCCACACTTCTGTGTTCCTGGGCTGCAGAACAGCCTTTTTCCTCCTGAATACAAATAACAAATGTTCCCCGTTATTGGGTTTTGCAAGTACAAAAGAAAACAACAAAACTCATTGAACAGGAAATTGCAACTTTATTAAATTTTTTTCGGTTCTTGTGACCTTTGTTGTTATCAAGAGACAAATGTGTTTTAAAGATGCATTTTCATAAACATAACCCAGCTGCCAGACAGTCACTGAAGCACTGGGGAATATCACAACATTTACAAGTTTGAGCTAAAGGAGACAACAGACCAGAGAAACAATGATGATTCTTCCATTATTCTGCACACGCACTATCAGCTCTTACAGTCTTTAAGCCCAAGATCCTCCTGGCAATAAGAATATTAATGTGTAAATACAACTTCAATTCAGTTTCCAACGCCACAGTAAGTTGCATAAAAAGATTAAATGTAGCCTTGGGGTAAAAAACAAAAAAAAAAAGGTTCCAAACAACTTTTGGTTTGGCTTTTTAACTGAAGCACAGCAAGTACAAAACCACGGCATTCAAGAACATTTCAGGCACTGCAATGCCCAAACCTCACCTTCCAAAATTCTCAATGTCCTGAACTCTCACTAAAATAATGAGGAATAAGAGACCAAGTGACCCTAAAGGATTCAGCTCCAGCCTTTTGACAGGAGTGCTGCTGGTAAAAGTGTAAGTGCAACAAGACTCTGTGTCCTGACTCAGAAATGCTTCAAAACAAGGAGCACATTTACCTGAAGTCTGAACACTTGATTTTGCATCTTTAGGCAGTTTCTGTAAAAATCCTGCACGAGCATCTTCTGATTTGCCCTCAGTATCCGAGGTCTGAAAGGGAGGAAAAAAAGGAAATTAATTCAATTTCTGACAGGGAAGATGCAAAGGGCAGGAGAACCTTCATGGGATGATGTTCCCAAGAATCAGAATGGAGAGAGACAAACAAGAGCTCATCAAAAACCAGCCAAGATTGGATTTAATAGTCTCTACAAAATTTAGAATCTTCAAGAAATTAAGGAAGACTGTTTTAAGACTGTTGAATACCATCATTGATAGAGCTGTGAAGGAAAGGCTGAGATTATCAACTACCAAAAATTTTTCTCAATTACCTAGTAAATAAATTAATAAAACATACCCCTGCTGTTTTGGGAGTCTGGGTGTTTGTGGGGTTTTAATTGTTTGGGGGTTTAGAGCTTTTGGGAGGGGGTAGGGTATGTGTTTTAAAGAAACAGGGTTAGAATTTTCTTAGTTTTATCTATATCTTTATTTACAGATATTATTTCAAAAGAAAAGAACAAAAAATAAAAATCATCCTCCCATTTTCCATAGCTCTCTCCAAACCAAATGGGAGCACAATTACACATGTTGAGTAACTTAGGTCCAAAGTCTTTTCTGTTATTTTTACCTCTAGTTCTGAACTTCCCTCAGGAGGAAGGAAATAATCAGGAGTGAAGAATTCTTCAGACACATCAGGAGGTGAACTAAGGGAACAATGCAATTCCCTCGAATGTCCCTGTGAAAGACATCATCACCTGAGATGCTTTCCCCACTCTATTAATAAAGAAATCACATTTCACTCAATAAACAACAGAGCAAACTGAAATTCCACAGACTTTGCTCACTCTGAGTTTCATCCTGCATTACATTATCTGTTCCTTACATTACCTTGATGGTTTGTAGAACCAAACAACAACAAAAAAAGGGGGATTGTTACTCAGATCAGCAGCCAGGCTGAACTGTTCCACAGACAACTAACTGCACCTGGATTCCCTGGATTTCTGTACATACCCTAGAGAGATTCTCAACTTGTTGAGGAAGGACTGAATTCTTATGAATGGCTATTCCAGACTCTGCTTGTTCATCCTGTGATGGCAACTGGCACCTCCTCCCTAGGATGTCAGAATGGAACAAAATTATTAGGCAAAAAATAACATGGGGTGATCTGAGTCACTGATGGAATATCAATGAGAGCAGACAGTAACACTAATTGTCTGTCAGGAACATGGAGAAACGATGACATTTAAATGCTCCCCTCATTAATCCAGGCAGGGGAACCTTTCCTTGTTCCTTTATCCATAAGTATTACAAAAGCACTACCCACTAAGCTGCTACAGAAAAAAAGCATCTCTGTGCTCAGACTGAAAGAAATAAAGTGTGAAAACACTGGTGGAGCTGTAAACTTTGGGTCTCCCATGCTGGTACCTGACAGTAATCAATGGTGATGAAGGGTCTCCAAGCTCACTGTTACCTCCCCCTATTAACACCTAATACTCATCTTATTCTATTCTTTATGTTCATCAAAGACTGAGTGATTGACCTGCTTGGGGGGCAAGACTCTGCAAGATAACACTGACAATTCTTGTCACAAAATCACAGAAGCTGAGAACTGACTGGAGATGGGAGACAAAAAAAGAAGAAAGGCTTTCTTTGCTCCTCAACCTCACCTGCAGAACTTCTGAGTGCAGACTCCAGATCACTCTCCTCAGATTCAGTTCTCTCCTCCCTGCCAGGATTCCAAGGCACAACATCATCACCTGGCTGCCACATACATCTTTGCTGGGCTTGTCTTTTTTGGGCTCTAGCAGTGACGTGTTGGAAGGGTTCCTTTGCACTCTCTGCTTCACTCTCAGATGTCCCTTCACTGGCTGGACAGGGACAGCTGAGCTCCAGCTCTCCTGAGGCCACTCTTCTGGCCATTCGCTTCACTTCAGCTACAACACAAAATGAACAAAGCTGTCAGGTCACACACCAGAACCTGGACCTTCAAACCATTCCCTGTGCTTCACTGTGCCTGCACACCTGGAAATGCTCAGGTTATACCTTGTAAACGCCTTTATCATGGAAAGAGTTAAACATTCCCTTCCATTTTAAGGGAAGCTTTAAAACCTGCAGGAATGGATATGGACAAGTCTTTACATGAGCAGCTTTGGTTAGTTTGATTCTCTATTATCCATGCCCGTGCTGCCATCCACTGGTCACTGCCATCCTGCCCTTCCTAAATCCATACACTGTCCAAAACAAGGCTAGAAATTCCTTCAGCTACAGAAATCAAACCATCTTAATGTGGTTGTGATTATTTTATGCTCGGAATGTGCAAGACACAGGATCCCACTCACTTGGTTTTCATCCAAGAACAATCCAAGAGATCTTCAGCAATTAAGGCAAACAGACCTTTCTTCGTTAAGAAACGAAGTGTTAAGTTTTAATGCACTGCAGTAAGACTTGATATCAATGCTGATTTAACAGTGATTTACTTACTCCTCCAGTCTGGTTGCATCATCCTCCTCTCCTCAGTTATTTTTTCGCTGTAGAATTCAGATCTTGGCTTTGAATAGCTCCTGCAATAAATCGTTATGAAATGCACAAGCTCTGCTAATGCACGAGTGTATTGTGTTAAGTATTCCCCAGCCAGTAAAAGACTAGAAGTTGTTTTAACATTAATTAGAACACGTGTGCTCTCAGCCTTTTAACAACCCAGCAGATCCAGCAGATTGAGCTGTCAGAAGCTTAGAAAGCACAGACAGTTATTTAGGTCTATTACAGATTAACCAGACAAGCTGTACATTAAACTCCAGATCTCAAAAGCTGTCACTGCCTTCAGATGATGCAGTTCTATAAACACTCAGACAATGAATCATGTGGAGATGTGTTTTATTCCAGTGATCAGTGGACAACTTCAGCCTTGGGTAACAACCACCCTGCCACCAACCTAATCCTAACCCTAACCTGACCCTCTGACCACAGGAATATTTCTATTCTAACCAACTGTGTCCTTTACCAACAGGTCTTACTGATCCAAATGGGTCATGAATTGATTTTAAAACTGTAAGTTTTCCTGACTGATTTGACCCAAACACTGAAGGAGGTATTTACCCCACCTTTCCAACCTTCCAGGTAAGATACCTTAACTTGCACAAGTTTTGCCAGGTGCTTTTAACATGGGATTTCCACTCAAACTCAGAAATACAAAGAGATGACATTAAAAGTATTTCTACTGGGAACTGAATGAGGCTGTGCCCAGAAAGGAGAACCACCCTTCCCAGTAACTCACCAGATTGCTCTCCTCAGGCACTGGTAGTTTTGGGCCACTGACCTCCCTCACAGAGGCATCTGAAATCTTTTCACCAGCCCTCTTAAACTGCCCTGTCACAGCAGCTCCCCCTCAGCTCTGCAGCTGCCAGTGACTCACAGCAGGGTCCTCACTGTGCTTCTGGCTTACTGAAGAACATTTAATGCCAGCCTTGATCCTCGTATGTCTCCCTCTGACAGGGGCTCTCTCAAGAGGAATCTGTCAGAATTAACTCTTCTACGAACACCATCAAAACTCACCATCTCCATTCTTCACTTCTTGCTGCAGGATGTGAATCAGCTCCTCTCTGACACTGCAAGTTCAACTTTTTTTGGCATCTTGCAGATCCACGTGGGAGTAAATGCTGAAATGAGTCCAGCAAGCCATGATTCAGCACACACTGGGCATTCTGGCAATTACTAGTTGAGCTGTCTGTGAGATACACTAAGAACCAGACCGTGCAAACTTGATTTCCTGGGTTATATTTTAGCTGCACTGCTCAGGAGAGAGGATGACAAGCCCAGGCCTCAGCCTAGCAAATACCCTGCCCAGGATTTACAGCAGGGTTCATATGTAGGCAGGCAGACTATCAAAACATGTGGTTTCCAGGGGGATGAGGGGACCTAAATGACTCAAGATTATTCCCACAGCAGATCTGTACATGAATTTCTCTCTTTCTCTTTGGGCTACTTCCACTTAATACCAAAAATGATCCAGAAGCCCTTACTAATGACAGTTCAGACCTCAATGCAAACAAAAGTCTTCCTCCACTTGGCCTTCTCCCTGGCCAATCTCCATTTTACTGCAGGATTTTATACTGGGCTAGTATTTTGCTGGGAGGAGTGGGGAGAAAGAGGAAACAATACTGTTGCACTGCTGAGCTGACTGTTTTCATTCCTATATATAATGCACATGGTATGTGCATATATTTTAAAAGACAGTTCATCCCTCCCCTTGGACACCACCCATCCCAACATCTCTTTACCTGCTAAGGAACACAGAAGCTATAAACACAGCCGTGCTGCTCAACATTTTACATTTTACCTCGTGGTTTAGGTTCATTTGATCATCCAGGCTTTTCCTCGCGCTGCAGCCGAGATCATGATGGTTGCTTTCAATTTTACTCTTCCTCTTTTCATTTTGAACTGCCTGTGTTTCCCTGGCTGTCTTTGAAACAGCCTGGAAATTGTCTTCCCCCAACGCTCCTTGAGCCTGACACGTCATGGAGGGTGGAATACAGTCACTGGATGGTGGACCCACAGCTTTGGGTAAAAATGTGTTCACTCCACAAAAAGGGTGATTGGTGTTCTGGGAAGCATCATCAGACCTGTTGCAGTGTCCTTCTTGAAAACTCTGCTTAGAAAGCTGACTCATTCTGATTTTTTGGAGCAGCTTCTTTTGCTTTCCAATGGCCTTTAATCTGTCCAGGTTCTCCTCTGTCCTGCAAAGGGAATCTGCTGCCTGCTGCAACATGCTCTGAATAATCTTTATATTAAGGACACACTTGCTGATGTGCTGCTCATTTGGGGAAGGACTGTTCCCTCTTCTCCCAGCATCTCCTCTCCCCTGTGCCAGGTCAGAGGCCTCACTCACCTCCTCCTCCTCCTCCTCTGCAGTGAACTCACTGCCTGACTCTGAGGAGTCACTGTCCTCCTCATCCTCACAGGATGCTCCAGAGGACACAGACAGGACTCCCAGGGGACTCTTATCTTCTTCCTTCTGCTGCCTTTCTGCATCCTTTAGAGTCTGATCTAACCCAGATCCCCCTTCCAGGAAGTCTTGGTGAATTTCTGGATAAGTGGCAAAGATTTCATTGATTTCAAAGCTACACAGGCTTTCATCCACGTCGCTCTCGCTGGGGGTTGTCTGGACTTCAGAAGCCACATCAGGACTTTTGTCCTGTGCAACTGGCTGCACACTGGTTGATGCCTCTTGGACCACCAAAGCCCTGTTCACCTCATGAAAAACAGGGTCTCTTGGGGCAGGAGAGCCATCTGAAAAATTTGATTTTAAGCATTAAGCCATTTCTCCAGAAGTCCATCAAACACGCTGCTTTTGCACATCTGGGAGTTAATTTTAGAGGTTACATGAGCAGCATTTAACACCTCTGCTGAAAACTGTGCCTGAACAATAAATATTAACCAGGCTCAGAGTCTTGAGTCTACATTAACAATTAGAGTGGTAGCTAAAATTCAAAGCCAACTTCTCTCTACTCTCAAACTATGTCACCAAACCTGTAAGTGCTCCCATTTTAATTATTTATGTTAGATTGTTATGGACTGAGGAACACACTAAGTGAAGGACACATCACATCTTGCTACAAGGAACTCACCAGCCGTGGCTGTCTCTTTTTCCTTGAATTCCACTGTTCTCCTCTGGCAGCTAAAAGCTGATGCCCAACAGATGTTCACATCTGCAAAAACAGCAGGTCTTCGTGCCTTTGATATGTCATCAGCATGACCACTCTGAGACTTAACCAAGTCCTGTAACACACACACACACAAAAAAAGGAATAAAATACAACTATATTTGACAGCTCATTCTCTTCTGAGGTGGTTTCCCTCCAAGATCAGATACTCAGTGCTGGATTGCCTCCCACCCAGACTGAAGCACAACAACTTGAATCTGAATGGACACAAAAACGAAAGACCACAGTCCTGGAAGACACCTTTAAGTCATTTTTCAGTATATACTGAATATCCTGAAGCTTCATGGAGCGGTTCCTCTGTTTAGGTTCAAGTCCTGACTTGACAACATCATAATAGAGCATAGGCAGCCTGACATCTGCTTCCAACTGCTCCCCTGAAATCATGAGCTGCTTAATAACTGAGTCTTCAAAACCTTTCCAGGGGGGGCTCTCTGCAAGACACAAGTACAGACTTTATGTCACCAGCTGTAAATCAATGTTAATTAAAAGAAAAAAAGCAGCATTATTGCCTTCCCATCCCCTAATTTACAGCTGCTGTCATGAACCAAATGAGCATCTCCTCCCCATCTTATTCCAACACTGGAGGCTTCAAAGGGAGCTGACAGCAATCTCTAAAGGACAGTGACACTGCAAACAACTGCTCTGGATTCCTCATTACCAACCAGCTAATAGAGGAATTTATTTTTAGGGTAACTGTTTATCCCATTTCACTGTCAAAGTAGTCACAGTGAATACAAAACATACATTACTTGTAATAACAGCAACAATCTCTAAGTTATTGTAGTGATCAAAGACATGAAAGCTGCCCAAGCTCATTTTGGACACTGCAAAGAGTTAACTGAATATCATGAAGAAGAAAAATAAACAGCAGGAAACCACACAAAATTGTGTTTCTCTAATACCAACGTCAATCTCACCCTTAAGCTACACAATTTTAAGCTTTCTGATTACATTTTACAGAAGTTTCCAGTAATCTTTGTTATTGTCACTAACATTTGGGTTTGGGTTTTCTTTTTTTTTTTTTTTTTTGCCTGGTTTGTTTTTCAAGTTAACTCTGGATGAGCCCTCAGAGCCCAGAGCTGTGGATTTACCTGTCAGGGCCTCCTGCAGCACTGCACAGAAGCTGTAAACATCTGATTTGACTGTGACAGTTCTCTCAAGGGCAACTTCAGGAGAGCACCACCTGTACAGCTGGACTGGGACAGGAATTCGGGTCAGATCACTGTGCTCTCCACTGTCTTTGCTGTATAAAGGGGGAAAAAAGTCATAATTTGGGACACACAGCACGCTCACACTCAACTACAAGGTGTATCTTTAGGAATTAAACACCTGAGTGTGTCACAGCTTTTAGCTCAAATACCCCCAATATGCAAATGCAATATTTCCACTCCAGTAAATGTCTTTTGGCAAAGACTTTCTGGGGAAAGCAACAAATTTGCACTCAAAAAGAATGAAGGAAAAGCTGAGCATTTCCCAACAGGAGCTTTACAAACAACCCTTTAGCTCTGGCCATGGATAAAAACGCAAGAAGGTGCCACCTACCCTGCCAGCATTTATTTTTCAATGTATAGGTGTGCCTAGAAGAGAACTTCAGTAATAATTAACAGAGGAAAGGAACGAAAAGGAAAGGAAACACTCTTTGTATCACTGGTGGCACTTAATTACCACCAGTTCAACGAGGTGTTGAATCTTGGGTGGTTTCAGGTAAACTCCTGTTTGCCCATTTAACAGCAAGTTAAAGAAAGTTCTTTACCTCTGTATCATGTACTCCAAGTTGCAGAGCTTTGCCTCCCCAGCAGAGACAATCTGGATGGCATAGGAGGAGAGGGAACGGTGGATGAAGCCCCGGGAGTGCAGGAAGCGCAGGGCGTCGATGACCTGCAGCAGCACGTGCAGGATGGTCTCTGTCTGCAGCACTGGGAACTCTGCACGCTGGAAAAAAACACCCCAGAGCCACCAAATTCACACTGCAGGGCTTTAAAGCCCGAGCCAGGGGAGATCGTCACAGTGCAGAAGGCAGCAAACAAAGCCAACTGAAACACACTGTGCTGAAAAGGCAGGTGAATTGCTCTCGTTTGTTCTCAATACCAAACCAAACAGCAACTCCTTAAATAATTAAGAATGGAAAATATATTGGCTGTGCCAAAATTCTGAAGCAGAATGAGCTCTTATAATCCCTCGCCTGGGACTGCAATGTCTTCCAAGTAATTTAGATGTCTGCACTCAAACAGTTAAAAGAAATAAAATAACTCAACTGCAAAAAAAAAAAAAAAGGAGGAAAACATCAGATGACAAAGATAAAACACAGATCAGTGATTAAAAAAAAATAAGAACCACAACAGAAACTCAGATACACGACTGAGGATTTTGTCTTCTTTTTCTCTGAGTGAAGATGTTGATGTAGTTACTAAACTTAATTAATAACTGTTTAAAACCCAAGCATTCCAGTTACCCTTTCATGCAGGATGCTGTACAGGGAGCCAAAGTGAACCCTTTCATACACTAAACGGGTTTTCTCCAGGTCACTGGACAGACAAACAGACATGAGCTGGAGCAAGTGAGGATGGCGGAGTTTGCTGCAAAGGGAGAGGGAAAGAAAAATTTGTAAGGCAAATCTGAGATTGAAAGAAGAAAAAAAAAACACCCAGAAGGACGGGAGTTATCAATATAACACGAATGCTTTTCACTTTTCACTGAAATATATGATTTTAAAAGAACAGATTTTCGGAGTGGGAAGAGACGGGAAGAGAGAACTGTGGTTTTTTTAACTGGAAAGAAAGTGCAAGCCCAGCCTGCCAGTCCTCCCGAGGTGAATCCCATCCCTCCCATCCCTGGGGACACCCAAACCCCAGGAGGAACATCCTTCCCCACCTGCTGTGCTCCTGCTCTGCCAGGAGGAGGTCGGCCAAGCGCAGCTTCCAGCTGTGCTGAGGGGGCTGCAAGCCCAGTTCCTTCACTGTCACTCTGCTGCCTCCCCACACGAGGCTACAAGGAGGAGGAGAGGAATTTCCACCAGGTGCTCCCTGCAGTATTTTTTTAAAGTTATGCAATTTTTTTACAAGGAATTTTGTAATTCTGAACTGCTCTGGTGCTGCCTCCTGCTGTTATTGAGTATCCTGGCTGTTGCATCTACTCTTTCAAACTGGCAATAAACACACCCTGCTAAGGCTGATTTTCACTGTCCAAAAACACCTTTCCATGACCCCAGGTAAAGAATAAGGGCACTCCAAAACTCCTTTCACCAAAGGCCATCAGCCCACTGTGACACAAGTGACAGCTTTGGGAAGATTAAATCACCAATTTGTCAGCTCTCTGGGTGCCTCTGACACACAACTATTTGCTTAATATACAATAATTAACACACAACACCAGAGACAGAACTACTTGCTCAACACACAGTAATTAACACACAATGCCAAATATTTTTTTAAAAGGGCTCAGTCTGCCCTTACAACTTTTGTTTCACCACAGGTTTGAGCAACTGGGCTGCCAACCTGCATATCAGGAGGCCTGGCCTAATATTTACAAGGGCTAAATGCTGAACAACACAATCTGTGCAACCCCAATCACATTTCCCACCACAAAGGAATCAACACTGAAACATTGCAATCAGTGAATAGTCATAATTGGGTTAAAATTGCCTGTAGGTTGCACTTGTCCTTTCAGACACCAAGGGAGTCTGATGTTAATCAGTGAATGCAGAAAACAACTTGCAAGCAAGGAAACAGTGAATAAATATAGAATGGACATGGAAAACTATCCAAACAAAGCACTGGCACGACCACCTGCTGTGCAACAGTAAGAGAGGGGCTAAAATCCCTCTGATCCCACTTACTTGGTCATGATCATGAACGGCCCAACGTGGTAAGAAAATGCTGGTTCATCATCTGCCTGAACCACTTCTTTTTCCCCAATAATTGGGAGAGATGCCAAGTAGCCCAGGTGCCCGTTGCCTGCAAGATAGAACTGGAACAGGGCATAACCAAAGGGATGTGCAACAGTTCCCCAAACCCACCACATCTGCCCCGAGCTCATTAACGACATCGGTGCAGTCACTGCACCAGGAGCCTCAGCCCAAGCACCAGCACAAAAAGCTGAGGTTTCAGTGTCAAAAACTTAACTTCCTAGTGAAGCTGAAACAGGGAAAAGCAGAATCAGTCACTGGGAACTCCCTGAGGTGACATTTAACAGGAGTCTCTACTGCCTGTTCCAAAACTGCTTCCCCCGACAGGGCCCATTAACCACTAAAGGCCTGAGTTTTCCTGCTTTTCACAGGGCTTTTTTTTCCACCATTTCAGTAGAAATAAGAATGCACTAAAAGTTAAAAATAGCAACAGGTTGGGATAATTACTGTGAGTCTGAAAAGCTGTCCTAACATCTTTAGAAAACCATTACCCACAGGATCTTACCTTCCCAAAACCGAAGCTGTAAATGTTCTTGGCTACATTGGCCTCTCCTTTCAGTAATCTACCCAAAGCACTGTCAATGTTTCTGAACAGCAAAAACACAAGCAAGAAGAGTAATTAATATGCCAAGGCTTGGAGCAAAATACAAATTTAGAGAGGAAAAAAAAAAAAGCAGAATTTCTGCAACAGCCACGTAATTCAAATGTTGCATTAGACTGGTCCCACATGTGTAATGTGGATGTTAAAATTCCAAATTATTGTGCAACTCATTAAACCTTTTTAAATACACTTGTGTTATCATATGTATTTGTTTTTTAAGCAAGATAGCCAATAAATATATACATATACACCCACACACAGGCATCTTGCATTGCTTTTTGTTCACAAGTATGTATTTTTCCTAACATGTAGCCGACACAAAAGCTCTTGAAACAGTTGGAAACACCCCAAAAAAGATCTGCAGTGACCTTAAAAAGCCAAGAAACAAACTACTTCATGTTATCACCACTTTAATGCTACTAAAATCCAGTGCTTTATATACTGATTTCAAGAGTTTCTCTTAATATACAGATATTTACAACCATCAAGTTGCCACTTGGAGCTGACCCAACAGGAATAAAAAGTACCATCATTCCTGACACACAGTGGATGTTGTCAAAAAGATAACAATTGTTAATTTTAAGACAATAGAATGTGGAAGCAGAATATCTTCTTACCCCTGGACAAGGCCACCAAACCTCGAGGGGCTGGAGACCAGAGCCTTTGATGAGCCAACTTTCCTGAGCAGATCAGAGGGGAAATTCTGAATGGCAGCCTGCATGTGCAGGGTACACTGCTGGATAAATTCCAGCATCTGGAGAGGAAGGGGAGGGAAAAAACCAACAAAAGAAGTTACTTCAAAACAAGATAAACCACTTTAAATTAATAAATCGTGACTACTAAAAAAAATAACTGGTTACTTGCAATATTTAAGTGGGTATTTTGAGAGATGCATACATGAAAAAATTGAAGAAAATCCACTACATGAAAATGGAAGAAGAGCTTACTTCAAATATTAGGTGACAAACTTGCAAGACTTCACCCGCAGAAAATTGTAATATCAGATTTCTTTTTAAGAGGAGCATTGTAATAACAGGAAAGAGGAGTATCACGAGCTTTAAATCAACACTGCAGTCATGAATAAGCCTTTCTGATGTCACACATCATTGCAAAAATGATCCACTTGCTGGCACTGCTCATGCACAGGCTGGGATACACCTGAAAACTACTTCAGGGGCACTCCTGAGTGGCACATCTACACAAAAAAACTGCACATCAAGGGTGGAAAACAAGGAGAACAAAGGCCTGTTGTTCTCTCCTTGCTCACTTCAGGTCCTAACAAGTTCCACAGACACACCCCCACAGCTGAGCAACACCTCAGTTAAACAAGTCATGAGGACCTCAAAATAACCATTTTTGACGTTGAAAAACAGGGCTGAATAATTATCTAACGTGTTGATAATTTTCTAACATGTAACTTTATTTAAGCCAAGGGTTTCTCCCTGGGATGTTGGAGTTTCTCCACGTCGAGGTGAGGATGTGAGCACGTATTCAGGTGTTCACACACATACCTGGGCACTGCATTCCTTCCTGGCTGACAAAGCCCAGTGCTGAGGAGTTCTCCCATCCTTATCATGGGCTCTCAGGTCACCTCCTTCATCCAGCAGCTTGCTGAGGATCCACTGGTTTCCTGAGAAAGCAGCTGCATGGACTGGGGTGCTCCCGTCGAGACAGCGACTGAGGAACAGCCAAGCAGGAATGTTTCATGTTTGAGTCTGTCCCTGCTCCACTCACCAGTGGAGGGGGGAAAAGCAGCACATCTGGAATGTTTATGTACCCCCAAGTAACAAAATTCCTCACAAAATAAGGAAAATTACACGCTCACCTCCGAGGAGCTTTGGCTAAAACAGAACGTGCATCCCCTTTTTCATTTTACGTGCAGTGAATATCGGGCATTACGTTGACCAAACCCACTAAAAGGTTAAATATTTGCTTTGGTTTTAAAAAGAGAAGCATTTTATACTTAACTGATTGGCGTCCGAGCCGTAATCCAACAGCACATCCACGATTTTACTGAGACCCAGCAAGGCAGCAGTGAAGAGACAAGTCTGGCCCATGGAATTCACGGCATCAACCAAAACACCTGCGGAGGAAAGAGAAGATTCTGAGGTGGTGCTGGTTCCCCCCTCACCCCAAACAAAAACCCACTGGTCCTGCTGATGATATTCCTCTCCCTGAGGCACTGCAGGTATGAAAATACAGTAACAGAAGTGGAAAAAAAGAGCAATGGAATTTCCTTGAGACTTTCTGTGTGTATCAGGCACTGCTTGTGCACAATGATTTTAAATAAAAATAATAATAAAAGATGGTATTTACATATACTTACATGTACAGTGTAAGTAGTAAGTGCTTATGTACCTACAAATATCTATTTATAAGTACATTATAAGTACATTATATGTACATATATATACATTATATTTACATATAAGTACATCATATGTACATATATGTATGTATAAGTACGTTCATTATGTATTCCATTCTTTATATGTACATATATATAAATATGATAATATGATATATAAATGATATATATGATATATAAATATGAAATATAAATATATATCATATTACATATATATTATATTTCATACACAATATATACTATATATATTGCATTCTTTATATGTACATTCCTTTTATGTACATATAAGTACATTCTTCATATATTACATTAAATATTACATGTAAGTACACTTTATGTACATATATGTACATATAAGCACATTATACGTATATATGTATATACTTGTATATGTATATGTATATATGTGTGTATATGTATATATATAAGTGTGTGTGTGTGTGTATATATATATATGCACTTTTGTGTACATATATGTGTTTGTAAGTACATATAAGCACTTACATATAAGATGTATAACTTACATGTCCATCTCTGTAAGCAGAGGTGGATGAGCACAGATAACACCAGAGGAGGGCATTAATAAATACCTAAATTATTCTTAAGTGCCCATCGGGAATTAGGCAAGTGTTGTGTTATTTAAGCGACTTGGCTCAAAATA